TATGATTTATAACAGAAATTGAACTTTAAATTGAATAAATTATAATAAATTGACAAAAACAAATTTATTTTATATTATAAAACATTATAACTGTAATTTTACAATTTACGATTTTAAATAAATAGATTTATTACTGTTATTAATATTTTTATTATTGTAATTATTTTAATAATTATTATAAAAAGAAAATTAATGAAAATTAGAATATTAATTATTATTATAAATATAAACACAAAAGCACAATATTTTTAGTATTCAAAGTAAGAAATTAAAAAAAAAAATTGGTGAATTTTATCATAAAAATTACTATAATATTGTAAATATTTATAATTCACAACAAAACTTACTTTAAATTAAATAAACTGTAATAATTTGACAACAAAGAAGTTAATTTTATATTATGAAAAATTATAACTGTAACTTTACAATTTACGATTTTAAGTAAATAGATTTATTACTGTCATTAATATTTTCATTATCGTAATTATTATAATAATTATTGAAAGAAAATTATAATATTAATTATTATTATAAAAATAAATACAAAAGCACAATATTTTTAGTATTCAAAGTAAAAAATTAAAAAAAAAAAAAAAAAAAAAAAAAAAATTAAAGATGTCTAAAGACATTAATGTAAAGAATTAATTTCTGATATTATGAAAAAGAAGTAGGAAACTTGTGGGCACTTTGCATGTAATAGTTTTAACTGAATTGTTCCTTGCAACCAATTCTAAGTTCATTTTTTCACATAAAATAAATTATTTTTACTGTAGAGCTTGTTACAGCAATTTCCGTGATAAAACGTAATGTCAATTCCTAAATTAAAACAAAATATAGATTTAAAAAAAATACAAATAAAAATATAACTAAATAATTGAAAAAAAACATTCGCATTTATATAAATATGAATATTTTTTTTAAATACTCGAAAAGTTAAAATAAAAAAAAAAAATAAAAGCCAACTGAGATTACGTTTACTCGCAAATAGTTTTTAATTTCTATATACATATATATAGTTTTTATTCGTATTTTTTAAGAAGTTTTTGATTTTGCATGCCTGTTTTTTATTTGGAACTATATGAATATTTATTGTTTAATCGTTCTCAATGAGAAGATGAATTTTTATAGAAAAATTAAAAAATTGAAAAATGATAAGAAAAAAAAGTGAACACCTTCTGGGAATTGAATTTTGCAATTTTAAGTAATTATTTGAATTGAATTTACAATTTTAAGTAATTATTGAAATTGAATCACTTACTTTTTGTTATTGTACGAAAAGGAAGTTTTTATAAATATTTATGATAAATATTAAATTAGAGAATTTAGAGATGGGAACTCTTTTTAATTTCAGGAAGGTGTTTCCTTTTTGCATGACTTTAGTTTTAATAAGTTGCATGTTGAGTGTTTTTTTAAAGATTTCTACATTTAGGTGCTTCTACGAATTCCCATCGTTTCATCAGATTCAAGTTTTAAAAAGTGTTAAATAAAAGAAAAAAAAAAGAAGAAAGTAGATTGAGAGTATTTTAGGTCTAGGGACTAAAATGACTGCTATGGATACTGTTGCTAAGGTAACGGTTACTATGGTGACTGTTACTAAGGCAGCTGTTGTAATAGCAATTTTTTTTTTTTTTTTTTTTTTTTTTTTTTAATCTTGACTGTTACTATGGCAGCGGTTACTATACGAAAAACAAATTTCTACTTTCTTTCTTCCTAAAAGTTTCGGTAAGAATTTAATTTAAAATTTTTACCCTACAATTTAACGAAAAACAAAAATGATGAAGCGATGGAAATTGCATGTTTGTCTTGTTTGCACTAGATTTTTTTAAAAATAGTTATTATTCACGGATTATTTTCCGTTAATGATACATAAAAAGTAGTAGTGAGCGCCAGAGTCAATTTTGACTCGGTCCTCTAGAAGTAGACTCAGTGAACCATCTAGAGTTTAGTTCTAAAAAAAAAATTTTTTTTGCAAACCTAACTAGGAGGGATAATATTTTCCCTAAAGAGAAGTAAACTTGTTTTTACAAAGAAGTAAAATTTTCTAGAAAAAGTAGCTAAATTATCAAAATCCATATAAAAATGGAAAAATAAAATTAAAAAAAAAAAAAAAAAAAAAAAAAAAAATTAGAAATTGACTCTGGGTTCACAGAAATCTTCTCGATGCATCTTTGTAGCTGCATGCGCATGACAAGAACATGTATACTGTTAATAGTGAGCTTAATTCAAATATAGAACTTTATATATATTTATTATATTACAATACGAGAAAAATTGTGAAATGTATTAAAATTCTTCATTGTTTCAAAATCGAATAACAGAGAAAAATATTTCCTCCGTTACTTGGTGTAAAACATTGAAGACGCGAGTGTTCCACCGAAGCAAATTTCAATATGTTCCCAAAAAAAAAAAAAAAAAAAAAAAAATCTCGGGGAGAGAACAAGAGACGAAATTTTTTTGTGAAACTATCACAATACGAAGTTTTTTGCTCACGCGTTTTTTTGCATTAAAAAAAGAACCTTTAGGTGTAAAAAAATATGGGACAAATTGAAAGTTAGGGAAAGAGAAGTTTTTTCACTTTTTTCCAGTAACGTCCAAACTTTTATAATTATATATACATATATATATATATATTTATACTAGCATTAACATATATCGATCGTTATTGAATTTCGAATAATTGTTTGCACCGTGGCACTGACACATTGACCTTTAAGAATTAATAATAAAATTTATAAATAATTGACATCAAGCGTCGTTTTAGTGTTAGAAGTGGAAAAAATTGAAGATTTTTTTATGTTAACACTAAGATGGCGCTCGGTGTGTTTTTCTATGGACAAATTTGGTGTGGGCTGACATCTATGTTAGATTACAACATGTCCATTCGCTGCTACTTGGCTTAAGCAAATATCATACGCAATAAAATTCCAAATCTTTTTCTCTCATTTTTCATTTAAAAAAAAGTGCCTAGACATCAAATTTAAAAAAAAAAAAAAAAAAAAAAAAAAATCGAGTGGAAATTCTCTTGTGTGTGTTGATTGCTTAAGCACAGTGTGTTCTTTGATTTACTAAAATATTGGGCGGTTTGCATCTAAATTAACCTAAAACATGAATGCACTTAATTTACAAAAAAAAAACTGTAAGATTGCGAGACTTACAGACCGCCCAATCTGCGATTATTATATCATGCAGTTATAAAGAATTTATAATCATGTTTGACCTTTATTTATTGGATATTTTCAGAAATTTGTGGTTTGCTGAATCTTGTCACAAGTTTTTTTTTATGTGTTAAGCACAAGCGCGTCAACACAAAATTGAAAGAGAGAAAAAATTTAAAAAACAAAAATTTTTAACACTTGTGTCGGAAATTTTAAAACAAGTTTTCGCGCTTATTGTAGATGTACCATTAATGTTGCGCATGCGCATTTCTTCTATTTGTGTTGGCGCACATGCGCATTTACATTTATATACTTTACTCATCGTACCACTGTACTCATTGTATAAATTACACATTCACCGCTCGAACACAAAAAAATAAAATATAAAAAAATATTGATAATTGAATATTTATAATATTAATTTTTTTTAAATACGGCCAATTCTCTCTATATCTCTCTCTCTCTTTAAAACTGTATTGAATTGTCTTGTTTTTTGAAAGAAAACGTACCATTTTTAATTGGCTTGTTTTTTTGTTCAATCACTTTTTTCTCCATGAAAAATTTTTTGAAAAAAGAAAAAATATATTTATAACCGATTATTACTTCTTACATTTTTCGCTTTATTTTTTTAGCTAAGTTTTAATCATTCTTTTTTCTTATATCGAACGAATTCTAGAGTTCACGTTTTAGAAAACGAAAAAAAAAAAAAAAAAAAAAAAAAAGTGGTACTCTAGGGTATGTTCGCTAGACTTGTAATTGGCTTTTACCTTGATTGCGTAATGCTATTTGCTTTTGAGATAAGTTTTGTATTATACCTTAGTTTTAGAAATATATTTGAAGGTAGGTCCAAATATGTGAGTCTCATGTTGGGAATAATTTTGAGTCTCAAAACGGTGTCGATATTTTTCCTTTTTAGGTGTTTTTTACGTGCACGTTTCGATAATCGATGTTAACCGGAAGTACATACAGAATTGCATCTGTAGAGTTTTTGTTTGGATAAATGTTTCCAGGTCTAAAGTTTTTTTTTTATCAAAATGAGTCATTCCAGTGGGAAAAGTTTCGTAAATTTGACGAAAGAGGACAAACTCAATAATGTAGTAGATCAGAAATGTTGATTTTTCTTCGGGATTAACTTAAAAACTGTTCTCACATGTGACTCACATTTGGTGCGTATGTGTTTATTCGAAACTATGACCAAGAAAGAAGTTTTTTTTTTTGAGAATATCATCTTTAGCATGCAATTGGCGTTTCGAAAGCACAAACACACTTGTTAACCACGGCTCAAAAATGCACTGATTTTATTTTACGAGTTTGAGAGGCAAAAGTAAAGGAAATTCATAAATTCTCGTAAAATTCTTGATGTGCCCTTTTGGAGCGTCATTACCAGTCTTTCGATTATTTGATTTCACCATTTATCTAGTGACTAACATTGTTTGAGCTTCAATTAGTATCTTGATTAAAAGTGGTGTACGTCATGTGTAAGATATACTTGGGTGTGGGATTACCATTCGTGGTATTTGAAAAAAAGAGAAGGAAGAAGGAGACGTGGGAGATTTCGTGAAAATTTCGAAAGTAGAGTAAAAATATATTTTTGTAGATTTTGTAGATTTCATAGATTTCGTAGACTATGTAAAGTACTCGAATGGGAAGTTGAAACGATTCCTTTTTCCTTCTTTTTAGGCAGCAAGGCGTTTTGTGATATTTCGATTGAGAGTAAATATTGCAGAACGCGATGTTTGCCGAAATTTTTTTTTTTTGGCTGGGTACTAGGTACCATTGGCTGAGGTTTTTTGATGTCATCATTTCAATATTTGATGTAATAACATTTTTTGAATTGTGTTTCAGCCTATCCGGTCGGTCCACATCCACCAACGGGTTTTGTTCCCGCTCAAGCTCAACCAACAACTTATGGCGGTTTGTTAATTTGATGATTTACTCGATCCGAGAGAGACGAATGGCTAACAAGAACTGAAGATTATTTTTTTGACGTCGGAAGTGAAAATCTCGTTAATCGGAGACTTTTGATCTGATCGAACTACTGAAAATTGCTACAAAATTTCAAAGCATATATAAAAATAAATTCAGAACATAAAATAATTGAAAAACATGTCAATCATCATCATAGTCCAGACAGTGAGAAAACTTTTTGCAGACTTAGGTCCACTCCTAGGGGATAGGTTTTAGTCTTGTTCTTGAAAACTATGGATACAGTTAATGTGATAATTGGAGAGAATGGTAAGCCTTTAATAGTTATTGAAGGTTTCAAAAGTTTTCTTTCCAAAAAGTATTAAAAAATGACATGAAACGATGGGCTTGTTAAAAAAAACTGCAAGGCATATATAAAAATAAATTCAGAACATAAAATAATTGAAAAACACGTCAATCATGACCATGGTCCGAACAGTGAGAAAACTTTTTGTAGACAAAAATTAAGTAATTGTTTGAAACGTAAAGCTTTTGACGATCCATCAGGTCGTCAATTTGCCTGGGATCCTATTGGAGGAAGGCATTAGGAAGAAAAAGAAAATGGAGGCTATGTAGGTTCTATTCTCCGTACGTTAGGTTCGCAAACAAATATAGCAGACTTTTGGGGTTAGAATACTAATTCCTATTTTAAGTAGATAACCAGCTCTAGTTAGGTCCACTCTAATGGTACACAGGTACCATGACTGTATTTTTACAAATTGTAGGTATAATATATAAAATTCTAAAAAAAGGAAAGTTTGTGAGAATAGAAGTTGTAGGGAAGGTTGTTGCAGTTCGTTGTCTCTCGGTGATTAAAAACTTGACCATTACCAATTATAATTGTTGGCTAATGTTTTTTTCCCTCAACAGTTGCAGGAGCTCCGCCCTATGGAGTGTTTCCTAATCAACCCCAACTTTACGCAACGCAGGGGCCTCCTCCGCCTACATATGATCAAACTCTTACACATCCGATGGTAAGACTTTCGGGAAATTATCCTTACCCTCTGAGCAAAAAACCATGTTCGTTCCAAATAATTATTTGAATTTCATGTCAACAAACAAATAGACAGTAATCAAATAAATAGTTTCATATCCGCCAAATAATGTTCCAAAACATTTAATAAACATGGATGTTAACAAATGTTCTAGAAAATTATTTGACGCATTTGAAACGTTCTAAAAAATGTTTTTGTAACGAACATTGTTTTTTGCCCAGAGAGTAGTTGGTTTATTAATTATAAAATATAATCCTTAGAAGAATATAAAATATATTTATAAAATTAGGAGACGTTGGAAATAAAAAATAACTTTTTTTTCTTGAAATTAAGATGTATCAGCCAATGTATGGACAGGGTTATCCAGGAGGTTATCTAACTGGCTATCCAACTGCTTACGGTCCATTGCAGTATTATCCGCCATTGGCTGCAGCTGCTGCTTATTATCCCGCCGCTGCCATGCAACCTGCTCCAGTCAGGTCCACTCTCATGGTACCTGTGAGTATTTTTTTTTTCTTTTTTTGCAACTTTTTAAAAATTTTAAATTGGGAAAATTATTTTTGCGATCGCTTAATACGAATCTAATAAGTGTTTTTCAAAATTAAAAATGGCGGATGACAAAATTTTAAAATTATTTTAACTCGCTTGGTGACTACTGTTGCTCGGGGATTTTCGGGGTCACTGAATACAAATCTAATAATGTTCGCTTAAAAATCAAGAAGGTGAATCCAATATGCCGAACTATTTTAAGAAATTTCTAAATTTAACTTGAAACTTGTTACTCGAGAGTTTTAAGGGTCACTGAATACGAATTTGATGTCGGTTTTTTAAAATTCAAAATGGCGGATCCAATATGATGGTCGAGAATTTCAAAACTTAAAATTGGTCAGTTTTTAAGAATTCAAAATGGCGGATTAATTTTTAAAAATTGTTCGGTTCGGCTTAAAACTTGGTCCTCGGGAGTTTTTATGGTCGTTGATTTTAAATTTGATGTCAGTTTCAAAAAATACAAAATTCCGGATCCAAAATGGCAGATTACTTTTTTTAAATCTATATTTATTTTGCTTCAAAATTGTTACTTGGGGGGTTTTTGAGGTCGTAGATTATGAAAATGAGGTCAGTTTTTAAAAATTCAAAATGGCGGACTTGTTTTTAAAAATTGTTCGGTTTAGCTTGAAACTTGTTACTCGGGGGTTTCTGGGGTCGCTGATTACGAATTTAATGTCAGTTTTCGAAAATTCAAAATGGCGGATCCAATATGGCGGACTTTAAAAAAAAAATTGTTCGGTTCAGCGTGAAACTTATTACTCGGGGGTTTTCTGGGTCACTGATTACGAATCTGATGTCAGTTTTTAAAAATTCAAAATGTCGGATTCAGTATGATAGAATTTTTTTTTAAATTGTTCGGTTTAGCTTATCAAATAGAGATTATCAAAGATTGTAAAAATAATTTTTTTTCCTCTTTCTTCTGTTATAAAAAGAATGGTTTCGAAGGAATCTCGCAGCAAGTTTTACCTCCACCACCGCCAGGAGTCGCTGCAAATGCAGCACAATTAGCGGCAATGGCAAGCCACAGTGTCGCCCTCTCGCAAAAGAAGGGCTCGTTTCTTGGAGGGGGAACAGATGGTGGTTATACCTTTTGGTAAATAAATTGTTCGTCTTTTTTTTGCGGTGTCACATAATACACACACACAGACACAAATATTGTAGAACGAGACATAAACGCAAAAAAAAATAATTAAACAAAAAAAAACAACAACAACAACAAAAACAAGGAAGAAAAGAAGAAGAGGAAGAAGAAGAGGAGGAAGAAAAAAAAAGCAAGTTAAAGTTGATCAACCAGGCATTGTTGTTGAGATCCGTGTAGGCAAATTTCAAGAAAAAAAAGCAAAAAAAAAAAAAAAAAAATTACTGTCTTTTTAGAAGTTTATATTTTCAATTTTTGTCAGGCGCAATCTTTCTCAAATCGCGCGTCTGAGTGTATGGACCGTCCGACGATTTAAAAAAAAAACCCGCTTGTCACTTTTTTTTTTGTTTAACATTGAAAAAAAATATCGCGCAAGTAAAAAAAAATTATCCCCCTCCCCTCTTAGGAAGTTGAAATTTCTCAAAACTGCAGATTCTGCAGAGCGGACGATCTGTACATTTTTGAGTTTATTTTTAAAGAAGTTTTGATTTTTTTTTAAAAAGCGAAATACTAATGCGCTATATTCAGTATTAAATTGAAATAAAATTCGAGAAATGCCAATGCGAATGTTTAACAAATGAAATAAAAAAAAAATGGGCGATTTCTCTGTAACGGAAATTTAAAAAAAATGGAGAGAAGTGGGGGGTCGGTAAGGTAGGAAAAAATGAATACGTTCCATGGAAATCGCGGGCATTGCAAATCGTGTCGTAATTTTTGTTGAAATGAGGGAATGTGAGTGAACTTTGAAGTTGAATGAATGTGTGGAGTGTGAGTGTGTTTAAAAAAATAGCAAAAAAAAAAAAATGCTCGCAAAATGTTATTGTTTTTAAAAGTTAACAAAAAAAAATTATGGAGTGAATTCGCCTGCAGGGATCGATTAAATCGATGTGTGTTCGAAGCCTGTTTTTTTAGGGAGAGAGAGAGAGAATAAAAAAAGCGTAATTATTTTGTCAGGGTGACCAGTGTGTGGGCTGTAAAACAACATATTTCTTTTTTTTGACGATTCCCTGTCAAATGAAAACCATTTTTTAACGCTGAAAAATGGTCACTAGCATTTAGATTGCTATCGAAAATACTCTATTTCATCTTCATAGTAGTGTCTTTTTTTTCTTCTTTTTTGTTTATTTTCTCCCGATAATTTCTTTCATTGTTTATTTTTTCGTTTTGTTCCTTTTTTCTGTTTCTATTCTTTCTGTTTGTTTTCTTTTGTATTTTTTGTATTTTTGTACATTTTCCTTTTTTTTTCTTTTTCAACTTTTTTTAAAAAAATTTTTCTATTTTTTTTCTCTTCTTAATTTTTTGTTTTTCTTTCTTTTTTTCAATTGTTTACTATTCTTCAATACTTTTCTTTCTTTTCCAATTTTTTTTCTGTTTTTTCATTTTTTTCATTTAAAAAAATTAAAAAAAAATTTTTTTTTTAAATTTTTTTTAATCTTGGAATTTTTTCCCTTTGTTCTCTTTTCCCGCCCTCGCCGCGGTTAATTAATTAATTAATTATTATTATAGTCTCTTTTCATCGAATTCTAACAAAGCCCGGAATTATTTTTTGAAAATGATTTTTTTATATATAATTATATTTCAATATATTATTATTATAAAAAAAAGAATTATAATTATATATATTTAATTCATTTTGAGAAAGCAAGCGAGTGTGTGTGTGAAATTCTTGACAATGCGACAAAAAAAATAATAATGAAGAAGAACAAAAAAAAATAAGCCTTAGATACTAGAAACGCTTTCAATTTTGAGAATTTACAAAAAGGAATACTCTACTTTAGAAAAATGAGTGAAAAAAAAGAACTTTTTTCATAAATGTAGCACTTTAATATATCTTTTGACAAATGAAAAGAATACAAAAAAAAAATAAGAAAACATAATTCTTTCGTGGATAAATTATTTAATTTAACTTTTTCTTCTCGAGAAAAAAAAGGTTTTTTTCTTTAAAATCAAAAAGATTTTTTTTTTGAAAAAACAGTATTTTTTTGGAAATTGGAAAATATTTTTAAAAAAAAGGATTTTATGGAAAGCTTTTTTTGAAAATCTTTTTTGAAAAATACTTTCGACAAGCTTATTTTTGGAATACTTTTAAAAGAATGATTTTTTGAATATTTCTAAAAAGAGCTTTTTAAAAAAGTTCCAAAAGATTTTTTTGGAGTATTTTATAAATGTTACATTTTTTGAAAAATATTTTCAAGAAGCTTATTTTTGAAATATTTTTATTTAAATAATTTTTTGAAATATTTCTAAAAGAAGCTTTTTTAAAAAGTTCCGAAAAAATGTTTTTACGTTTGAATAAAGCATTATTAAAATTTTTTATAAATACTACTAAAAAGCTTCTATTAGAAATATTTTTAAAAAATACTTTTTTGAAATTTTTTTCAAAATACTGTATCAAGAGATTTTTTAAAGAAATATTTTCAAAAATTTGTTTAAAAAAATTCTTTTTTAAAAAACTTTTTTGAAAAGTTTTCTTTTTAAATAGTTTTAAAAAAAGCTTTTTAAAAATATTATAAAGGAGTTTTTTTGGAAAGTTTTTTCCAAAAATCGTTCAGAAGTGAGCTTTTTTGAAAATGTATCAAAAGAGCTTTTTTAAAAAATACTTTAAAAAAATGTTTTTTAAAGAAGTTTTTTTCGTAAAATACTACATAATAAACGTTTTTTTAGAAATATTTCCAAAAAATTTTTTCCAAAAAATGCTTTTTTGAAAAATTTCAAAAAAAGCTCTTTGAATTTTTTTTGATGTTACAAAGAAGCTTATTTTAAAAATATTTTCTTTTTTAAGAAATCTATTTTTTTTTAAAGAAGAATATCTTTTTTCTCTACAATAGATTTTTTTTTCAATAAAAAAAACGAAAATCCAAAAAAATCCAATTCTTTCGTAAAAAAAGCTATTAAATTTCCATTTCTCTCCAAATAGAATCTAATTCTATCCGTAATATCGATGCAATTCATTATCTTGTGCCAAATGAATTGTCTCAACAAATAGAATAATATTAATTTTTCCTGAAATTTTTTTTTTTTAATATCTTTAGAACTCTAGAAAAAAAATTCTCCAATATTCCTACGTTTCTTGTTTTTAAAAATACAAATTTTTTTTTTTCGTCTAATGGGAGGAAGTGATTTATTTTTCATCCCGTTCAATTTTTTGTAACTAGCGTGTGTCATTTGAAGAACGTGTGAGAATCAATAAAACTCGTCCTGGAGAGTTCGTTTTTGTCAAAGAAAAAAAAACTTGCAAACTTTTGTTAAAAGATGAAAAAAGAAAAGAAAAAGGAGAAAAAAATGCAAAAAAATCGACAATAAAAATTTGACGATAGTTTTTTTTTCTTTTTTTATCTCCAATCAATCGGAGATGAAAAAAATGATCGCTCAAGGCCGGGGGAAAGAGGGGGAAGGGTGAAAGGGGGAAGAAAATTGCGAAAAAAAGTGTGTCATACGTGATTTGGAATATTTGAAGAAAGAAAGAACAAAAAATAGTACAAAGTGATTAACAAACGGAAAAAAAGAATAAAAGGAATAAAAAGTATAAAAAGAAAGCAAGGAAGGAAAGAAAAGGACAGAAAAGGACAGAAAAGGAAAAATGTCAAAATGGAGAAAAAGAAAAAAAAAGAATGAAAATAAAGAGCGAATATTGTCAAAAAACGAAAATTGAGCGATTCTTCGAGAGCAAATATGTTTGTTATTTCGTTTTTTGTAGAGGTTTCGAAAAATAAATTTTTTTTTCGAAATTCTGCTTCTCAAGGAATCGGCTCCTTATTATAGACGAAGGGAAAGAAAAAAAAATGCGCACTGCCGAGAGAACAATTTTTTTTTTTTTTGAGTCAACTGACACGAAACATCATGACAAGTATGAAATTGTTAAAATATTTAAAAAAAATACGTTTCGATAATTTTTACACTTTTGTTATTTGACTATTATTAAATATTTGAAACATTTAAAAAAAAGGAGTAGAAATTTTTTTTTAAAACTGTTTCCATTTTTTTTGTTACAAAGCTGTTTCCATAATTTCTTTGTTAAAAAGCTGTTTCCATTTTTTCTTTGTTAAACAACATTTTTTATTGTATTTATAACTCGAAAGTTAGATTTATTGAAAAATACAATTGTGGAAGGACTTGGAACTTTGATTTATTGAAGGGAAAGAAAAATTGTGGAAGCACCTTAAAAATTGGGGTCGTTGTTAACGGTGCTTTGTTTCTTTTTTCGAAATTGTTCTAAAAAATCGAATCGAAAGAAAGAAAAAAAGTTGTGAAAGCACCTTAAGAATTATGGCCATTTTTTGTTAATCTTTACATTTTTTTAAATTAAGGCCATTTTTTCTTTTTTTGAAATTGATCGAATCGAATTAAAAGAAAAATTGTGAAAGCACCTTAAAAATTAAGGCCATTTTTTTAAATTAAGGTAATTCTTTTTCTTATTTTGAAATTGATCGAATCGAATCGAAAGAAAGAAAAATTGTGAAAGCACCTTAAAAATTAAGGCCATTTTTTGTAAATCTTTACCATTTTCTAAAATTAAGGCCATTTTTTTCTTTCTTTAAAATTGATCGAATCGAAAGAAAGAAAAATTGTGGAGGCACCTTAAAAATTAATTTCGAAAGAGAAAAAACAATAGGAAAATAAGGAGAAAAGTCATTGTTTTGTCAAAATTTGTTTCAAGCACACACACACACACATATACATAGAAATAAATAATAATATAATGTAAAGAAAAAAACAATTAAAAAAATGTCTAGCGTTTCGACTCCCATTTCCTCCCGTTTTAAAAAGAAAATAATTAGTAAAATTTTTTATATCGATCGATAGAAACAAATTTACACATCGAACGCTCTAGACTCTCGGTGAATTTGTAATCAACGAATTGACAGAAAGAACTACTAAAACCCGGTGCGATTTGATTTTTGATTTAAAAAGAAAAAAAATCGATATTGTTTCTCAGCAGAATTTTTTTCTTTCATTAATAAAAAATAATTTTTTAATTTTTTTTAAAAAATTTTTTTGTAATTAATTTCTATTCTATTCTAAATAAGTAAATTTATAATAAAATTTTTGAAAATAGAAATAAATTTATATTGTTTTTGAGAGTAAAAATTAAATAATGTAATTTTGCAAAAAAAAAAAAAAAAAAAATTGAATCGAAAAAAAAATTGTGGAAGCACTTTAAAAATAAAGACCTGAACGAAAAAATTTTTGACCGAAACGAAAACAAAGAAACAAAAGAAATTTTTTTTGTTAAACAAAAGTAAGAAAAACAATTCTGCTGATAAACTTTAGCGAAACTCTGTTGACTTGATAGTGATATTTCTTGTAACGATGTATTAAGAAAAAAAAAATATGACAATTTTCACGATTGTTGGTTATGTGGTAATGACATTGCACCTCAGACACTAAAAAAATGAAAAAACCAAAAAAAAGAAAGAATGCAAAAGGGTCTTTATATGTGGCAGCTACGAGTTAATTTTTTTTTTTTTTTTTTTTTTTTTTTTTTGGTACAAGAATGCAAATTGATTTATTTCCCCTCTTTCGATAAAACTATATAAATATTTAAAAACAAAAAACAAAACATTTTACTCACTGTCTTTGCTGTAGAATGTTTTTCTTTTTTCATTTCCAAAAGACAAAAATTCGAAACATTATTCTCAATTAAAAAAAAGAAAAGACAAACTAAAACAAAAAAAAAATAAATAAAAATAAAAAATAAACGTAATGTAAGGAAAAAAGTAAAAAAAAAATTGTCTGCGACCAGAAACAAAGGGGTACGGGATGGGATTGAGAGAGAGCGAGAGAGAAAGAGAGAGAGAGTGAGAGTGAGAGAGAACGAAAATTGAGGGAGTTTTATATCAAGAAAAAAGTGTGCAATAAACAATATGTCTATTGTAACAATAAAGTAATTGTATTAATTACAATAAAAAAAAAGCATTCGTTGTTAAGCTGAACACTGTACCGATGTCGAGATCCGGTATAACGGTTAATAAATATCATGACCAAGTATAGAATTGTTTTCTTTTTTTGAATTAAAAAAAAACCTTAAAAAATTAAAAAGAAAATGCGAAATTTTTTTTTTATAATCGAAAAATTAATTAAAATGATTAAGAAAAGATTTTTAAAATGTAAAAAACTTAAATAATATAAATTCAAAAAAAAAATTATAAAGATCGATTGGTCTGTCCAAAATGTTAAAAAGAATTGTAAAAAATTACAATAATTTTTTTTATATTTTCGGAAATAGTAAATAAATAAATTTCGTAAAATAAATTAGAGACAAATGTTTCAAGAAAATAAATTAAATAGAGATAAATGTAAAAATTATTAATTAAAATATAAAATAAATTTAAAAAATTAATATTTAGGTAAAGAAGAAATCAATAAGGAATACAAATTGAAAAAAAAATAAATTATAAAGAATGGGATTTTTAAAAACTTGTAAAAAAACATTAAAAAGAAATAAATTTAATAAATTAATTTATTAAAATTTTAGAGAATTACTGGATTCTACTGAAATACTTTATAACGAATTAAGAAATAAATTGAATTCTTTCTGGAAAATAATTTAATATTTGAAATGATTTTTTCTATATTTATAAATGTAATTAAATTTTTTCGAAGAATTTATTAAAATTTTAGAAAATAATTGAATTCTTTAGAAATATTTTAATATTTAAAAAAATAATTGAATTGTTTTGGAAGACTTATTAAAATTTTAGAAACTAATTTTATTCGTTCGTGAAATGTTATTAAAATTTTGTTTAAAAATAATTGAATTTTTGCAAAAAATTTTACCTACTATTTTATTAATAAATTAATACCTATATAAATATATAAATAAATTAATAAATAAAAATAATTGAATTCTTACGAAGAATGTTATTATTTATGAAAAAAAAATTGAATTCTTGCGAAGAATTTTATGAAAATTTTTTAAATTACCAAACATGAATAATTAATTAGTAAATTAATTAATAATTGAATTTTTTAAAAGTTTGAATATGAAATTTTGCAAAAATCCATAATTGAAAATAAAAAATGTTGTAATTCTAAATTCAAATGCGTTTCAAATATCAGTATGCATAGAAACTACGTAAGCACGATTTCAACTGTTTTTTTTTCAGACACAGAGAAAATTCGCACCAATAATTTCTCTTGGTTTTTTTTTAATTCTTTCTTTATCAGTATGCACAGAAACTGCGTAAGCACAATTTCCTTTTTTCTTTCTTTAAGAAATTAATCTTAAATTTTCATAGCGACTTTACTCCTTGATCCTTCAACAAATGAAATTTTGTTTCTTTCTGAAACTTTTGTTTTCTAAACGGGTAAAACATATTTATTCTTATAAGAATCATTACAAGTGTTGTCAACATTTTTTCCCCCTCCTTTCTCCTTTTGTTTTAGAAAGAAAAGAACTTAAAACATAATTTCAATTCTATTTACAAAGTTGATTACAAAAGGAAAAGAAGAAAAAAAATGTCTTGTTTTTTTTCTTGCTGGAAGAGAAAAAAAATGTCTATTATATAGTCAACAATATTTTGTTTTTCAAACTAAAACTCTAAAAAAATTGGAAACAAAAAAACAATAAAAACACAATTATTTACGATGGTAAATTATTAAATTCTCCTCTCGAGAGGGAATTTCTGATTGTTTTCTCAACGGACGGCAACATTTCGCAATATGAATCAACACAGGAAGTTGCGCAATTTTCAAATTCACTGGTATATCGATCAGCGACACTTTGCGATGGCGATGGACCCATTTTGTCGCGAATTTTGTCATTACAATCCATTACGCATCTTTGCAGACGATTCTGTTTGAAGAAAAAAGAAGAACGAATTATTCAATTTTCATTATTTATTCTTAAAAGTAAACAAAAAAAAGATAACAATCTTTTCTATACTTAGAAAAATAAAAACTCTATTTTATTAATTTTTAATAAGTTCATTAATTTGTAATTTAATTTTTATTCATTTTTTATTAAAAAAAATTAATATTTCTTTTTTTTTAAAAAAGAATATTTCAATAACCAAATTTTAATAATTTTAATGACTAAAAAAATAATTTAATATATTTCTTTACTTCGTTTATAACAAAATTTTTTAATTAATTAAATTTCAATAATTTTTAATAAATAAAAAATTTTGTTTTTGTTGAATAAAAAAAGTTAATAATATATTTTTAAAATAAGACAAAACGAAAATATTCAGACAAAATTAATTAATTTTTTATTACAAATTTTTAAACTTTTTAAATAATTAAGACAAAATTAATTTATTTTTTATTATAAATTTTCAAACTTTTTAAATAATTAAAATTAATTTAATGCATTTTTTTTTTGCTTATAAGGAATATAATTAAAAGAATAGACAAAATTAGAAAATTAATTATAATTAACTAGAAAGAAACTGAGATAGAAAATCAAAAATTAGGAATTAATTAATTTAGTGGTTAATTAATATTAAAAATACAAAAAATAGAGAATAAAATTGTTAATTAAATCTAAATAATTTATTAATTTCATTTTAATTTAATAAATTATGTAATTAATTAAAACTAGCAAAACTATCCACGCGCAAGCGCGCGGGAATGTTATATGGGGCTGCTTATTTTAAACAATTTAAAAATTTTTAAAGAAATAATTATAACAACCTAACAAAGAGATTTAACTAACTAAAATTCAAATAATTTCACTCAATGGTCTCAATTTAAATAGAATTTACATTACTAGACTTAAACTATGGCTAGAACAATTACAATTAGTATCTGGGTCATCTTTTGCATTGCTTATTTTATAAAGCCATTTTAAATTAAAAACTTTTTAAAGAAACAATAATTATTACACACTGAAAAAAGTTTTACTTTGAATAGCGATAAGTTTCTCTAGAATAACGAAAGTATTAATTGAAGCACTGAAAAATTTCGCTACTAAAGTGAAATCTGTAGTTCATCCAGCTAAATATTTTTTGCCGTGAATAACGAAAAAAGAATTAAATTAACATCAGATTTTCTACATTCAAAAAAACGAATTCAAATAGAAATTAATCATTTTAAAACTTAACCAAATTCACCCCAGAAATCACTGAATTCGATAGTTTAGAAGAAAGTCAGACAAAAGCAGGGTTCCTACAGAATCTGGAAATCATGGAAATGGTATGGAATTTTTAAAAGTTTCTAAATTTTTTCAGTTTTCCATTTTTTCTCTTGAATAAAAATTCAAATAATAATAAAGCTAAATGGCATAAAAGAGAAGAAAAAATGTTGAATTTTAAGAAATTCGATTTTTTGGATTTTTGATAATTTTAGATTTTTTACTAAGGAGTCGAGACAATTTAATAAGTAAAGTATTTTCCAAAAGCACAAAAATAATGAAGCTAATTCCCATAAAAGAGAGGAAAAAATGTTGAATTTTAAGAAAATCGGATTTTTGAAATCTTTTGAATTTTTGATAATTTTAGATTTTTTACCAAAGAGTCGAGACAATTTAATAAGTAAAGTATTTTCCAAAAGCACAAAAATAATGAAGCTAAATCCCATAAAAAAGATGAAAAAATGTTGAATTTTAAGAAAATCGGATTTTTTAATTTTTTCAAATTTTTGATAATTTTAGATTTTTTACCAAAGAGTCGAGACAATTTAATAAGTAAAGTATTTTCCAAAAGCACAAAAATAATGAAGCTAAATCCCATAAAAAAGATGAAAAAATGTTGAATTTTAAGAAAATCAGATTTTTGAATTTTTTCGAATTTTTGATAATTATAGATTTTTTACCAAAGAGTCGAGACAATTTAATAAGTAAAGTATTTTCCAAAAGCACAAAAATAATGAAGCTAAATCCCATAAAAAAGAGGAAAAAATGTTGAATTTTAAGAAAATCGGATTTTTTAATTTTTTCAAATTTTTGATAATTTTAGATTTTTTACCAAAGAGTCGAGACAATTTAATAAGTAAAGTATTTTCCAAAAGCACAAAAATAATGAAGCTAAATCCCATAAAAAAGAGGAAAAAATGTTGAATTTTAAGAAAATCGGATTTTTTAATTTTTTCAAATTTTTGATAATTTTAGATTTTTTACCAAAGAGTCGAGACAATTTAATAAGTAAAGTATTTTCCAAAAGCACAAAAATAATGAAGCTAAATCCCATAAAAAAGAGGAAAAAATGTTGAATTTTAAGAAAATCGGATTTTTTAATTTTTTCAAATTTTTGATAATTTTAGATTTTTTACCAAAGAGTCGAGACAATTTAATAAGTAAAGTATTTTCCAAAAGCACAAAAATTATGAAGCTAAATCCCATAAAAAAGAGGAAAAAATGTTGAATTTTAAGAAAATCGGATTTTTGAAATCTTTTGAATTTTTGATAATTTTAGATTTTTTACCAAAGAGTCGAGACTATTAAATAAGTAAAGTATTTTCCAAAAGCACAAAAATAATGAAGCTAAATCCCATAAAAAAGAGGAAAAAATGTTGAATTTTAAGAAAATCGGATTTTTTAATTTTTTCAAATTTTTGATAATTTTAGATTTTTTACCAAAGAGTCGAGACAATTTAATAAGTAAAGTATTTTCCAAAAGCACAAAAATAATGAAGCTAAATCCCATAAAAAAGATGAAAAAATGTTGAATTTTAAGAATATCGGATTTTTGAAATCTTTTGAATTTTTGATAATTTTAGATTTTTTACCAAAGATTCGTGACAATTTAATAAGTAAAGTATTTTCCAAAAGCACAAAAATAATGAAGCTAAATTATATAAAAGAGAGGAAAAAATGTTGAATTTTAAGAAATTCGGATTTTTGAATTTTTTCGAATTTTTGATAATTTTAGATTTTTTCCAAAGAGTCGAGACAATTTAATAAGTAAAGTATTTTCCAAAATCACAAAAATAATGAAGCTAAATCCCATAAAAAAGAGGAAAAAATGTTGAATTTTAAGAAAATCGGATTTTTGAAATCTTTTGAATTTTTGATAATTTTAGATTTTTTACCAAAGAGTCGAGACTATTAAATAAGTAAAGTATTTTCCAAAAGCACAAAAATAATGAAGCTAAATCCCATAAAAAAGAGGAAAAAATGTTGAATTTTAAGAAAATCGGATTTTTTAATTTTTTCAAATTTTTGATAATTTTAGATTTTTTACCAAAGAGTCGAGACAATTTAATAAGTAAAGTATTATCCAAAAGCACAAAAATAATGAAGCTAAATTCTATAAAAGAGAGGAAAAAATGTTGAATTTTAAGAAATTCGGATTTTTGAATTTTTTCGAATTTTTGATAATTTTAGATTTTTTCCAAAGAGTCGAGACAATTTAATAAGTAAAGTATTTTCCAAAATCACAAAAATAATGAAGCTAAATCCCATAAAAAAGAGGAAAAAATGTTGAATTTTAAGAAATTCGGATTTTTGAATTTTTTCGAATTTTTGATAATTTTAGATTTTTTCCAAAGAGTCGAGACAATTTAATAAGTAAAGTATTTTCCAAAAGCACAAAAATAATGAAGCTAAATTCTATAAAAGAGAGGAAAAAATGTTGAATTTTAAGAAATTCGGATTTTTGAATTTTTTCGAATTTTTGATAATTTTAGATTTTTTCCAAAGAGTCGAGACAATTTAATAAGTAAAGTATTTTCCAAAATCACAAAAATAATGAAGCTAAATCCCATAAAAAAGAGGAAAAAATGTTGAATTTTAAGAAAATCGGATTTTTGAAATCTTTTGAATTTTTGATAATTTTAGATTTTTTACCAAAGAGTCGAGACTATTTAATAAGTAATGTATTTTCCAAAAGCACAAAAATAGTTAAGCTAAATCCTATAAAAGAGAGAAAAAAATGTTGAATTTTAAGAAATTCGGTTTTTTGAATTTTTAATAATTTTTGATAATTTTAGATTTTTTACCAAAGAGTCGAGACTATTTAATAAGTAAAGTATTTTCCAAAAGCACAAAAATAATGAAGCTAAATCCCATAAAAAAGAGGAAAAAATGTTGAATTTTAAGAAATTCGGATTTTTGAATTTTTGATAATTTTGGATAATTTTAGATTTTTTCCAAAGAGTCGAGACAATTTAATAAGTAAAGTATTTTCCAAAATCACAAAAATAATGAAGCTAAATCCCATAAAAAAGAGGAAAAAATGTTGAATTTTAAGAAAATCGGATTTTTGAAATCTTTTGAATTTTTGATAATTTTAGATTTTTTACCAAAGAGTCGAGACTATTAAATAAGTAAAGTATTTTCCAAAAGCACAAAAATAATGAAGCTAAATCCCATAAAAAAGAGGAAAAAATGTTGAATTTTAAGAAAATCGGATTTTTTAATTTTTTCAAATTTTTGATAATTTTAGATTTTTTACCAAAGAGTCGAGACAATTTAATAAGTAAAGTATTATCCAAAAGCACAAAAATAATGAAGCTAAATCCCATAAAAAAGATGAAAAAATGTTGAATTTTAAGAATATCGGATTTTTGAAATCTTTTGAATTTTTGATAATTTTAGATTTTTTACCAAAGATTCGTGACAATTTAATAAGTAAAGTATTTTCCAAAAGCACAAAAATAATGAAGCTAAATTCTATAAAAGAGAGGAAAAAATGTTGAATTTTAAGAAATTCGGATTTTTGAATTTTTTCGAATTTTTGATAATTTTAGATTTTTTCCAAAGAGTCGAGACAATTTAATAAGTAAAGTATTTTCCAAAATCACAAAAATAATGAAGCTAAATCCCATAAAAAAGAGGAAAAAATGTTGAATTTTAAGAAAATCGGATTTTTGAAATCTTTTGAATTTTTGATAATTTTAGATTTTTTACCAAAGAGTCGAGACAATTTAATAAGTAAAGTATTTTCCAAAAGCACAAAAATAATAAAGCTAAATTCCATAAAAGAGAGGAAAAAATGTTGAATTTTAAGAAAATCGGATTTTTGAATTTTTTCGAATTTTTGATATTTTTAGATTTTTTACCAAAGAGTCGAGACTATTTAATAAGTAATGTATTTTCCAAAAGCACAAAAATAGTTAAGCTAAATCCTATAAAAGAGAGAAAAAAATGTTGAATTTTAAGAAATTCGGTTTTTTGAATTTTTAATAATTTTTGATAATTTTAGATTTTTTACCAAAGAGTCGAGACTATTTAATAAGTAAAGTATTTTCCAAAAGCACAAAAATAATGAAGCTAAATCCCATAAAAAAGAGGAAAAAATGTTGAATTTTAAGAAATTCGGATTTTTGAATTTTTGATAATTTTGGATAATTTTAAATTTTTTACCAAAGAGTCGAGACTATTTAATAAGTAATGTATTTTCCAAAAGCACAAAAATAATGAAGCTAAATCCCATAAAAAAGAGAAAAAAATGTTGAATTTTAAGAAATTCGGTTTTTTGAATTTTTAATAATTTTTGATAATTTTAGATTTTTTACCAAAGAGTCGAGACTATTTAATAAGTAATGTATTTTCCAAAAGCACAAAAATAATGAAGCTAAATCCCATAAAAGAGAGGAAAAAATGTTGAATTTTAAGAAAATCGGATTTTTTAATTTTTTCAAATTTTTGATAATTTTAGATTTTTTTCCAAATAGTCGAGACAATTTAATAAGTAAAGTATTTTCCAAATGCACAAAAATAATGAAGCTAAATCCCATAAAAAAGAGAAAAAAATGTTGAATTTTAAGAAATTCGGTTTTTTGAATTTTTAATAATTTTTGATAATTTTAGATTTTTTACCAAAGAGTCGAGACTATTTAATAAGTAATGTATTTTCTAGAAGCACAAAAATAATGAAGCTAAATCCCATAAAAGAGAGGAAAAAATGTTGAATTTTAAGAAATTCGGTTTTTTGAATTTTTAATAATTTTTGATAATTTTAGATTTTTTACCAAAGAGTCGAGACTATTTAATAAGTAATGTATTTTCCAAAAGCACAAAAATAATGAAGCTAAATCCCATAAAAGAGAGGAAAAAATGTTGAATTTTAAGAAAATCGGATTTTTGAATTTTTTCGAATTTTTGATAATTATAGATTTTTTACCAAAGAGTCGAGACAATTTAATAAGTAAAGTATTTTCCAAAAGCACAAAAATAATGAAGCTAAATCCCATAAAAAAGAGGAAAAAATGTTGAATTTTAAGAAAATCGGATTTTTGAATTTTTTCGAATTTTTGATAATTTTAGATTTTTTACCAAAGAGTTGAGACAATTTAATAATAAAAGTATTTTCCACATTAAAAAGTTTGACATTAAAAAATATATAAAAAATGCCAATACTTAACCCACAAAATTTAATTTTCAAAACAATCAAATGAATGCAGATAATTGGCTAACGGAAAGGAAACTTACTATTATTATAATGTATTAATTTATTTTTAATAATATTTTTAATTGTTCATATATATTTACCTGAACTCTTTCAATTTCGCTGGAAATGAAATGTTGAGCTTTATTTAATGATGAAGTGCAATTTTCCACGCAATTTGCAGCTCTATGAACACTGTAACTTTCATTGTCGTAACAAGTTGCGGCACATCTGTGCATATCTGCCTAGAATTTATTTTAAAATTAAAATTTTTCTATTTGTTTTCATTCATAGATGAAAATTTTACTAATTTAATTAATTTTTTAATACATTATATAAAAATTTAATTTTTAAATAAATTAATTTTTTAAATCAATTTATTACCTTTATTAAATAGTTTAACCGTTTAATTTTTATATGAATTAATTATTTAATCAACTTATTACTTTTTTAATAATTTAACCATTAAATTTTTAAATGAATTAATTTTTTAATCAACTTTATACTTTTTTTTAATAATTCAACTAATTAATTATAATTTTCTGATTAAATGTGACAATTTTTCACAAAAATTAATTCATTTATTAATTAATTTTTCTATCAATCAATCAATTAATTAATTGGAAATTTATTTAATTTCTCAAATAATTAATTGATTAAATTTTGTAAATAATTAATTTTTATAAATAAATACAAATGGATAACCGTCACAATTAATTATCCAAATAATTGATTTTTCTGTCAATCAAATAATAAATTAAAGATTTATTTAGTTTTTTAAATAATTAATTGACAAATTTAGTAAATAATTAATTTTTAAAAATAAATATAAATAGATGATCTTTACAATTAATTTTTCTATCAATCAAATAATGAATTGAGAGTTTATTTAATTTCTTAAATAATTAATTGAAAAATTTGATAATTAATTAATTTTTTAAAATAAACATAAATAACTTATCATCACTATTAAATAAATAAAAAATTATTTTATTTGTTTTTTTTATAATTTTATAAGTAAATAAATTTTTAATTTTATTTATTAATACAAATTTTTACATTAGAAATTTTATTTGAAAAAATTTTGAATTACGAAATATTTGAACTTTATTTCTTACATTGAGAAATCATTCAAATGTAATAAAGTTTTTTTTTATGACAATGACAAATTCAGAAATTACAAGCAGATATTTTTGTCATTTTCATAAAAATCTGATTAAGTATTTTAAGAAATAAATTATAACAATTAATTAAAATATATATTTATAATATGTTATAAACAAAAAGTAAAATAAAAATATAATACACGTTAAATTTTTAAGGTTAGGTTTACCTGCATTTTTCGAAGAAAATTCTTGTCAATATCCTCAACGAGTTTCGTTATTTCCTCCTCAACACGTTTCTGCTGCCTTTCGACCATTTTCAATAAATAATAATATTTTTTCAATTTATTATTATATAAAATTTGACTTATAATTAAATCTAAATTTGAGAAAAAAAATCTCCCGGTTTTCAATTGCAGGTGTGCGCACACGTTCCTGATTTTTCACGCAAATACCAAGTTTACGCATGCGCAAACACCAAGGTTAAGGATTCAGTCGATTCAGTCCAAAGGTTTCAAAAGTAAACAAGTTTTTTTTAATATAAGAAGAGATTAATTCTGAATAGACAAAATTGGCTCTTTTTATGCCCTTATGTTGAACATAACAGAATAATTCAATAGATTAAAGAAATCTATTTAATTATTATGTTTTATGTTCAAAATAAAGACACGAAAAAGAGCCTATTGTGGATACAGCTTAATAGTCTATTTAAGCTCTTTTCATTTTTCGACGAAACGAAAACATTTCTATGTCAGAAAAGTTCCAAGGGAAATGCTGTTGAAATCATTCAGCCAATCAGAGAAGAGTTTTAAATTATATATGAGAAAAAAGAAAACAAAATTGTAACTCAGGTTATGTTTTGATATTCGAGTAAATCAGGAAGAAAAATAAAGAAAAAAGTACAAAATTTATTTTTTATTATAAAAAAAAACATTGTCTGATATGTTCAAAAAGCAGGATATATTAATGTAAATATGGTGAAATGTTTAATTTGCCGACGAGTCTATAATAAAGCATTTGATGTTTCGTTTCACAGGTAAAATAAAATTTTATTAAATTCTTGTCAAAAAAGTATATAATTTCTCTATTAAAAAAATTAAAATAATTTTATCCTTTTTTTTATTACATTAAAATTATCCTTTTTTTATTTGTTTAGAAAAAAATATTTTCAACTATAAAAAAAAAATTTTTTAAATAATGTTTCTTTTTCGGTATTATTTATATTATATATTAATTATATTAAATATTATGTTTATATTAATGTTCATTCATGAAAATCGTAAAATTGACATTATTTTTTCTAAATGTTAAATTAAATTGTGTTTCAAAATAAACATTTTTCGTAAAATTAAATCGCAGTTTTCGCTTTAAAGTCTGATCCACACGTATAGTTGAAATTTAACTCAAGTTCACATGAATCATATATTTTTATAAAAAAAAAAAAATAACGCTAGTATTTTCTAATTTAGTATTAAAAATTAATAATTTACTACTGTAAATTACATTTTCTATTTTTTTTTAATAAAATAAAACAAAATAAAGGGGTCGTTCACAAAGTAATAAATGAGCAACTTTTTTTGTTAACTGCCCAACCTTGCTTATTGAAATTTCCGAGAATTTCATTCAGCAAGGTTGGGTAGTTGATAAAAAAATTTCATTCACCAGGGTTGGATTGTTAAAAAACAAAAAGGTGCATTTGTCAACTTATTAAAGAGTGAATATTGAATAAAATAAACAAATAGAAAATAATTTTTTTTTTAAAACAGATTCCCCTCAGATCAGGCGACAAGAAAAATATGGTGTAGAATATTAAATCACAGCATAATTTCACCCACAGACAGAGTATGCTCAGGGCATTTTACAGACAATTGTTTTCAAGTTCACAAAGAATTGGGACAGAGAATATTAAAACCATATTCAACTCCAACGCTTGCAATGACAAAACTACAGGAGCCATTGAAAGTCACTTGTTCCTGGGAGTAAGAAAACATTATATTACATATTATACGCTCAGTAACGAACTTTACGTAAAATTACATTATTTTCCGTTTGTGACGTAACTTTGCTTTTAACACTAACTTATAAAACGGTAAGTTACGTAAAAAATACGCAATACCAGCGTAAATAACGTAAAATATGTAAAAAGCCTAAAATGACGGAAATTAACATACATTACGTAAAATTAATGGAAATTACGACAAAAACGTAAATTACAGTAAATCCTTAAAAGTATTGAAATGTTGTTTACTTGAGTATTTAACATAATTTTAATTTTTTTATTTTTGTAAAGAAACGCAAATTGCGTAAAATAAATAAAGTAAGCATAGACTACGTAAATATTGTGTAAATTATGTAAATTTACATTAAAATAGTGTAAAGTTACATAAAAGAATGTAATTTACGTAAAATAATGTAAGTTACGTAAAAATAGTGTGAATTATGTAAATTTACGTAAAGCAATGTAAAATAATGTAAAAATAGTATAAAATATGTAAATTTTCGTAAAATAGTGTACATTACGCAAATTTACGTAAAATAATGTAAATTACGTTGAAATAGTGTAAATTATGTAAATTTACATAAAATAGTGTAAATTACGTTGAAATAGTGTAAATTATGTAAATTTACATAAAAATAGTGTAAAATTACGTAAAATATTGTAATTTACGTGAAATTATGAAAAGTATAAGAATTTTTGCCTCACCTCGAGTATTTAACGTAATTTGCATGTAAAAAATATGTATTTTTTTTTAGAACGGTGTTAACGGACCATAACTATGTGGCAAAATTGGAGAAACAGGAAATTGCAAAACCTGTCGAGCCGGCAAAATTATTAATTCAATATCCCTATATCTTGAATACGCAGCCAAATAATATCGTCACGTATGTTTAATTATTTTTTGAATAATTTTTTTTTATATTATGAAAAATACGAAAATTTATTAAAATGAAAATATTAATAATGTTTTTTCTGCACAGAAATGTAATGCAAGACTTAAGTGTTAACATTCCCTTAACTTATCAACCGATAGTAACAAATATCTCGCAACCGTTCAGGTAAAGTTTTTTAAAATAAAAAAAAAATTTTCTATTATTTAAAAATTTGATTTTTAAAAACAAATTTTACTATACAAAAAAATTTTTTAATTTTTTCTTCTTTTTAGTGGAAATATGATGTACGCTTTAAAAATAAATCCACCACCGAACCAAATTCAGCCTGTTAAACAAAAAGTGTAAGTTTTGACTAAAAAAAAAATATTTTCATCATTACTGATTAATTTTCTTGGTTGAAAAATTTGTCAAGTTATATATTTTTTTTTTGTTGAAGTAATAATTTGTTCTCCTTTTTTTCTTTTTTTGGCGGCGGGATTTTTACAGGATTCTTAAGAATGTAAAAAATCGAATGATTATAAGTAAGGAGGAGGCAAAAAGAAGAGCGTTAATTCTTAAGAAGAAAAAGGAGGAGCGTAAACTACACGAGACAACAGTGAAAAAGCTTCAATCGGCATCAAAGAAAATAATCGATCAGAGGCAGACGATAAAAATGTTGAGACAAAAGTTAAGGCGATTGCAGAGAAGATTCGAAGTACAAAAATCGGTTGTTAAATATCTCAATTTTAAATTGGAGGGAGCGAAGGAAAAGCAAATAACCGTCATTGGTGGTCATTTTTAAGTCAGAAATGATTTCAAAAAAAGAAAAGAAGAATGAGAAATATTGTTTTAGTTTTACCCAGTTATTTTTTTATTATAAACTTTAAAAAAATCTTTACTGTACTTTTTTATACAGATAATAAAAAGTAGTTTTCTAAAAAAAATGTTTCTTTTAATTCTTCTAATAATTAGATTTCACTTTTTTCCTTGTATCCTTTAAAGTGTAATAACTTTGACAATTATTAACGAATTCACACATGAATGCTGTTAAAAGTTAGGGAAAGAAATAAGCTCTACTTTGAAATTTACAAGAATAACATATCCTGCATTTATAAAAACTTATGGTAATTTGAATGATATACAAGTTTACATGTTAAAAAGTTTTAAAGTATGCAATCATCGGTAACGCCCTTAAACTTTGATCCTAGATCACACGCGTAATAAGATAAAAGTTAGAGAAAGAGTCAAGCTTCAATTTGGGACCAACCGGAGAATCATATCTTGAATACAAAAAAAGTTGTGGTCATTTTAATCAATAACAAGCTGTAATGACGAAACACTTAAATAGCTACAACCATAAAAAACAGTCTCAAACTTTGATCCTAGCTCACAGGCGTTATAAGATAAAAGTTAGAGAAAGAGTCAAGCTTCAATTTGGGACCAACCACAAAATCATATCTTGAATACAAGAAAAGTTGTGGCCAATTTAATGATAAACAAGTTTTAATGACGAAACACTTAAATCGCTACAATCATGAAAAACATTCTCAAACTTTGATCCTAGCTCACAGGCCTAATGAGATAAAAGTTGGAGAAAGAGTCAAGCTTCAATTTGGGACCAACCGGAGAATCATATCTTGAATACAAGAAAAGTTATGGACATTTTAATCAGGATCAAGCTGTAATGACGATACACTTAAATAGTTACAATCATGAAAAACATTCTCAAACTTTCATCCTAGCTTACAAGCGTAATGAGATAAAAGTTAGAGAAACAGTCAAGCTTCAATTTGGGACCAACTAGAGAATTATATCTTGAATAGAAGAAAAGTTATGGTCATTTAAATAATAAAGATACTGTCATGACGAAACACTTAAATGGCTACAATCATCAATTACATTCTCAAACTTTGATCCTAGCTCACAGGCGTAATGACATAAAGTTAGAGAAAGAGTCCAGCTTTATTTTGGGTCCAACCAAAGAATCATATTTTGAATACAAGAAAAGTTAAGTTTTATTTTGCTTAGGCTTGGAGTTGTGTTTAACAAATAGACATTTTTTTTAGTTTCACTATCAGTAATTTATTCGAAGTTTAATAAATAATTTATAATAAATAATAACTTTACTTTTAAATTCATCTTCAAATCTATTTTTTTCGTGATAGACAATTTTTTCCAAGTCTATAAATATTTCCATAATATTTAGTTTTTTTTTTGGTTATAGTATAGAATTTTTTTCTTCTGCATTATTTTGATAAATTACATACATTTTGTTAAATTTTGTTTTCTCCTTCGTAATTTTCCTTTTCTAAATATTTCTCCAAATGATTTATTTATAGATATTTAATTCACGATGATTTTGTTCTATAAGGAAATAAAAAGTATTTAATTAACTTTTCACTAGATTTCTAGTTTCTATATAATTATTTATCATTGGTTGGTATAATTAACTGAATTTACAAATTATTCTATTTATTTTATTTTTCAGGCTGAAGTCCCATGGCAGCGTTTTGCGTTGCGTTTTGTAACTAGGCCATGAGTGTGAGAGAGATGGAGATATATGTTTGCTCTATTTGCACTCATGGCCTAGTTACGAAACGCAACGCAACACGCTACCATGGGACTCCAGCCTAATTCTATTTTTACCTTTAGGGCAGATTTACAAGTCTACAGGTGCGTCCACACTGCACTTTTACCCTTAGGATACTGTCAAATGATATTTTTGAAAAAACTATTCTTATCTTTCTCTCTCCTATGCCAGAGGCATAAGTTTGTCTCACTCTATATTTTCTGTTTATGGTAAAAGTAATAAAATTCAGAGTGAAACAAACTTATGCCTCTGTCACAGGAGAGAAATAGACAAGAATAATTTTTCTAAGATTCGTGTTACCGTACCCTTAGGGCAGTTTTACAATTCTAAAGATGCGATCACACGGAATTCTTACTCTTAGGGTAAATTTACAAGTGTAAAGGTACCTTCACAGTCCATTTATATCCTTAGGGCAGATTTACAATTCTAAAGGTGCGGTCACAATGAATTCTTACCCTTAGGGTTAATATACAAGTGTAAAGGTGCGTCCACACATTATTCTTTATCCTTAGGGTAAATTAACAAATCTAAAGGTGCGTTCACATCAGTCTAATTTTACCAACCTATGAAATAATTAATTTTTATAATACTAAATGTATTCTCACCTATTACTTATCATCATCGGACGGAAGTCCCAATACTCCTTTAAATGCAACTTCCGATATTCCGAGTGTTAAATCCTTCGCAAGATTTCTCACCGTGTTAATCAATTTGTCAATACGTGGAACGACATTTAGCAATAAACCCGAACCTTTCGTAGCAGTGTCTGCAATTTGTTTCGCTTGCTGGGGAATTTGTGCAAAAGTGTTGACCAAATTTGATGCAGCATTTATTGAATCGGCCGCTTGTTGGGGAATTTGTCCGAAAGTACTGGCCAAATTTGATGCAGTTTTTAATGGTTCGGCCGCTTTTTGGGCAGCTTGTTGGGCAGCTTGTCCGAAAGTATTAGCCAAATTTGATGCATTTTTTATTGAATCGGCCGCTTGTTGGGGAATTTGTCCGAAAGTACTGGCCAAATTTGATGCAGTTTTTAATGGTTCGGCCGCTTTTTGGGCAGCTTGTTGGGCAGCTTGTCCGAAAGTATTAGCCAAATTTGATGCATTTTTTATTGAATCGGCCGCTTGCTGGGGAATTTGTCCGAAAGTACTGGCCAAATTTGATGCAGTTTTTAATGGTTCGGCCGCTTGTTGGGCAGCTTGTTGGGCAGTTTGTCCGAAAGTATTAGCCAAATTTGATGCAGCATTTATTGGATTTGGAACATTTTTGAGAGCATCAGCTGGATTTAACGAAATTGGAAATGACGGTAGTGCATAAATTACCGACAATAAAATACTCACAAGAGTTAATGTAAATGGAAAAATTTTCATTTTGAATTTTTTTTTAAATTAAAGAATTTCTTACACGAAATAGAAAACACGGGAGAAAAATGTGACTAATGGCTAAGAATTATTTTATTCTCGATATTTATATATCGATTATTGTAGGTAAGACACAAGTGTTTCCTGGATGGTTATATTGTCATATTATTATTGTTTACGGAATTACGACACTCGGCAAATTGACGACACGAGGAAAAACAAAATAATTGACAACAGTTGTTTATAATTGTTCATACTAGTTTCAAAAAAGAAATTATAATAATAATTAATTTTCTACTAATTCCACATAATTTAAAAAAGAAAAAAAATTATTCTAATTTGAATAAAATTTTTCATTCTTTTTTTTTTACTTTGCATTGTAACTTTCAATTATTGAAGAAAAGAAAAAATGCGGAAAAAAATTTTTAAAACTGAAATTCCTACTTTTGTTCTCAACTGTAAATTAATTTGAATATTTCTTTTATTTTCAATTTAACATAAAGTTATTTTAATATTTTATTTTAATATTTCTGTTAAGTTTAATTTATATCATAAAATAATAAGTAAAAATAAATAGAAAAATTCGAAAAACTGTTTTTAGGAAAATTCTATATAGAAAGTAAAGGTTCCATTGTGGATGAACCTTAAAATTCTGTTTAAAAGAACACCCAAACATAACCTCAACAAATTTTTTTCTTTAATTTTTTTTACTTTATTATTTATCGATTGTTATTAATATATGATAAAATGAATAAATAAACTAAATAGAAATCATAGAAATAAATAAAAGTTTTTTTTAAAAAATAATGCAACAAAAATATAACCTCAACAAAATTATTCAAATTTTATTATTTAAAAATTATTATTAGTAAATTATGAAATAAAAAAGTCTAAATAAAAAATTAAAAAAAGAAAAAACTTCTAAAAATTCTTTTTAAAGAAAATTTTATTTAGTAAGTATAAAGTTCATTGTGGATGAACCTTAAAATTCGTTTTAAAAAAAAAACGAAACCAAAACATAATCTCAATAAAATTTTTTTTATTATTTTCCTTTACTTTATTATTTATCAAATTTATTATTAGCATATATAATTAAATAAATAAATAAACTAAATAAAAGTAAATCAAAAATTCTGATTTGAAAAAATGAAAGACAATCAAAAACCTCAATTATAAAATAAATAAAAAAAATTAAATAAAAAAAATAAAAAGAAATTAATAAATAAAGTAAAAAAATAAAATAATTAATAATAATTATTAATTAATGTAAAAGAAAAAAAAGATAAAAATAGTGGTTGTGGCAGCATCTTAATGCAACGGTCTGATAAGAAAGTAATTTTTTCTTTTCGAGAATTAAATACTGATAAAATTATCTCTTTCATTTGCAATAAATTGTAATTATTCATCAGTTACTCATTAGTTGCTATTAAAGAACTTCGTCTCTTATTTTATTGAAGAATAATAATAAATAAAAAGAAAGTGAAAATATAAAATAGAAACTTTTTTTTTAACGAAAATTGTAGAAATACCATAATTTTTTTCTTTTATTCCCTTTTTTAAAATTATAGTAAAAGAAAAATGTCAACTAATTGGAATGAAAGTGCAGTGCAATTAAATCCACCTGAGGAATTATTGAAACCTCTTGTTGTACCAATTAAACATTTAATGGGTCCTGGTCCAAGTAATTGTTCACAACGTGTTCTAAATTCCCTTCAAAATCAACTTATTGGTCATTTACATCCGGAAATGTGCAAGGTTATATAATATTTTTTGTTATACTTTTTCGTTCTTTCTCCTAGATTTTTTAGCCCCTTTCAATATGCAACCATTGTTACAGTACTATAGTTTTAAGGTGCTTTCACACTTAGTTCTTTTTTATCGACACAATCATAAGAAATAGTTTTAAAATCATAAACGTGACAAATTAACTTTAATTTATTTCAGTTCCAATAATATTAATAAATAATAATCAAAATAAAATAAAAACTTTATTTTAATTATTATTTTGAAAATAATTAAGTAAAATACAAAAATATGTAAATAAATAAAAAGAAATATTTAAAATATTTTTTTATTTTTCCTTATTAATTGTTATAATTAGTTAATATAATATTAATAAAATTAATAATTAATATTTGTAATAATAATTATTAAATAATAAAATTTCAATAATTTTGTTGAGATTATGTTTGTGTTTCATTTTTTTTTAACGGAATTTAAAATATTTTTTCATTTAGTTTATATTATATGTTAATAATAAATGATAAATAATAAAGTAAAAAAAAAATAATAAAAAAAAATTTTTTAAGAATATGTTTGGGTTCCGTTCTATTAAACAGAATTTTAAGGTTCATCCATAATGGATTAAGGTTTATTGTGAATGAACCTTAAAATTATTTTTGAAAAAACTTTCTAAATAAAATTTATTTTAATTTATTATTTTTATTTATTTATTTTCTTATAATTATTATTAAATAATGAACTTTAAATAATTTTATATTATAATATAATAATAATTTTATATTTGTTGCGTTTATGTTTGTGTTTCATTTTTTTCAAACAGATTTTTCATTTATTTTTTCATAATTTATTTATTTACTTTATTATGTTTGAATATATAATAGATAATAAAATTATAAATAATAAAAAAAATTTGTTGAGGTTATGTATCGGTTTTTTTTAAACAGAATTTTAAGGTTCATTCACAATGAATTAAGATTTAATGTTGATCAACCTTAAAATTCTTTTTAAAAAAACTTTCTTAATGAAATTTTCTTAAAAAGAATTATTAGAAGTTTTTTTTATTTCTTTTTAATTTCTTATTTGTTTTATGATTTGCTAATAATAATAATTTATTCAATAACACAATTTGAATAATTTTCTTGAAGTTATATTTGTATTTAATTTTTTTAAACAGAATTTTTTATTTATTTCTATTTAATTAATTAATTAATTTATTTTATTATATGTTAATATAATAAATGATAAATAATAAAGTGAAAGAAAATAATAAAAAAAAATTTGTTGAGGTTATGTTTCGGTTCTGTTTTTTTTAAAAGAATTTTTTGAAGTATTTTATTAAATTTAGATTTTTATTATTTTATTTAATTAGGTAATAATAATATTAATAATAAAAAAATAAATAAAAGTAATAATAATTGTAAAAGCACCTTAAAACTGCTGTGTTATTCACATTGGTTAAAATATTGCAAAATGTAAAGCTTCATTCACACACGTGGAGTACAAAATTTCTAGATAAGTAAAATTCGACTAATTTTCACGTGAAAAATAATTATCGATTTGTAAGAATTGTCTATCTATGTATATTTTCAGTTAATGGACGAAATTAAGGCTGGTCTACAATATGCCTTTCAAACAAGAAACAGACTAACTCTAGCTATTAGTGCATCTGGTCACGGGGGAATGGAGGCGTCAATTGGCAATTTACTCGAACGTGGAGAATCAATTTTAATCGTTAAAAGCGGTATTTGGGGTGAGAGAGCGGAGGACATTGCAAATCGTCTTGGACTGCAAGTAAATAACTTTAAAATTCGCAGGTTTTAAACGAAAGAAAACAAAAGAAAAATATTTTTCATATTCAAAAATTTTTCAAAATTTAAATTTTTTTAAAAAACTTTCAAAAATTTTTTTAAAACTTTGTAGCAAAAATAGTTCAGATCCATATTTTACTTTAGTGCAAATTTTGTGGATTTTTATCAAAAAGGAAAGAAATGGGAACGGTCTAAAAATGCGAGGTGGGGAAAACTATTGTGCATTGGCCTTTATCTATCGTACTATAAAGGCACTTTCACAATTCTTTTTCCAAATAAAAAAACAGAAAAAAACTAAAGGGTAATTTTTAGGTACACCTATTAACGACAAAATTGGGCAAAGGTTTTAATTTAGGAGAATTAAAATCAGCGTTGGAGACTTTTACACCAACGGCAGTTTTTATGGTTCACTCGGAGTCGTCGACTGGTGTCGTTCAATCACTCCTGGGGGTTGGTAAACTTGTTCATGAGTAAGTTTTTCTTTTCGTTTCGAATAAAAGCAATTTAAATACTTTCCGTCTCGAGGAAAATTAAAAAAAAAATTCTTCATACCGAATAAAAGATTTAATACAAAAGCCTCGAGTAAAAAGGAGCAAAAATTTTTAGGTTATGTTTTCGTACTTACAGACACGGCAGTCTCCTTATTGTTGATACGGTTGCATCCCTAGGGGCGGAACCATTTTTCACTGACGCTTGGGAAATCGATGTTGTTTACACCGGAAGTCAAAAGTGTCTTGGAGCGCCACCTGGAATCACTCCGATTACTTTTAGTCCCCTTGCCGAGTGAGGGATACTTTTTAACACCATTCTATTTATTTCTAAATTTTTTTCTTCGGTAAAAAAAAGGACGAAAAGATATTTCTATCCTTTGTCCCCCGCATGTAGACTTATTTACAATTTAGAACTTTTTGTATTTTTCTTCGACTGCCCAACCCTGCTGACTGAAATTTTTATCATCTACCCAACCTTGCTGGATAAAATTTTCCTAACCTTTCGAAAATTTCAATTTAACAAGGTTGGGTAGTTGACAAAAATTGCTTTTCTGTATTTTTTTGTCGACTGCCCAACCCTGCTGATTGAAATTTTTATCTACCCAACCTTGCTGGATAAAATTTTCCAAACCTTTTGAAAATTTAAATTAACAAGGTTGGGTAGTTGACAAAAATTGCCATATTTGACCAGCGGTGAATTTCGATAAGAAAAATTTCATCCAACAGGGTTGGGCAGTTCCTTTTTTTGCGAAATAATTAAAGGCATGTACACACTATTTTTTTTATTTCAATTTTTTTGTCTTTTAGGCGAAAAATTTTCAGTAGGAAAACAAAAGTTCCGGTACAATATTGGGACGTGACTTTATTGGGGGACTATTGGAATTGTTTTGGAAATTCTAGAATTTATCATCATACGATAAGTGCTACTTTGGTTTATGGTCTACGCGAAGCACTTGCACAATTAGGTAGGTGATAATTTTAGGGGTGATTCACAACGTTCGTTACACCCCTTAGGGAAATTGCGCGCAATAATTTTTCATTTTGTGCGCATCGATTGACATTTTGTTAAAGGTGAAACCACAATGGACTATTAGGTTTATTATTTATTTAATTATTTATTATTATTTACTACTTTTGATTCTTTATTTACTATTTACCGAAATAAATTAAATTACTATTTAAATAGTAAAAAGCAGTAAATAATAGTAAACCAAAAAGTCAATTGTGAATTGACCTTTAAATAGTAAAAAGCTGTAAATAATATTAAACCAAATAGTCCATTGTGGATTCACCTTTAAATGGTAAAAAGCAGTAAATAATAGTAAACCAAAAAGTCAATTGTGGATTCGCCTTTAAATAGTAAAAAAGCAGTGAATAGTAGTTGACAAAGTAGTCCATTGTTGATTCACCTTTAACAAAATGTCAACCGAAGTGCAAAATATTATAAATAATTTGTCGCGCCTATCGTTTTAATTGTATTTTCTATTTATGTCGATAAAAGAGGGTTTATTGTAGAAAGAGTCTAAAAGTGAAAAATTCTTTTTTACAGCGGAAGAAACACTTCCGGTTTCCTGGTTGCGACAAGCTAAAGCAACGGAACATCTACATAACGGTCTAAAGGCACGTGGTTTTGAATTTTACGTCACAAATCCAAAAGAAAGATTGAAAACGATAACAGCTGTGAAGATACCTTTAGGAATTGATGGCAAAGTCGTGACGTCATATGCAATGGAACGGTAATTGTGGAATTACCATTATATTACGTCTTTTTCTAAGAAAAAAAGGTCTATTCAAAATATAACCTCTAAATCCTAAATATCGTAATTTTTACACAAGAGAGAAAAGGATAGAAATATCTTTTGCCTTTTTCTAGAAAAGGACAGAAGATATTTCTATCTTTTTCTCTCTCATGCAAGAAGGAAAAACTAAGATTTAACGCTTTTATTCTGTGTAGAAATAAAATCCTTTTTTTCTGACAGGAAAATTGATAAAAAAAATTAAATTGAACTTTAAAAAATGAAATTTTTCCTAAAAATTAAATTTTCTTTTTTATTTTAGACACAGTGTGGAAATATCCGGTGGTTTAGGACCAACAGCAGGGAAAATTTTTCGTATCGGTTTAATGGGAATAAATGCGACAATTAATCAGGTTGATCTTGTATTACGTGTTTTTGACGGAAGTATTAAATACTCAAAATCTCATTTGTAACCATTTTTTTTTAATTATTAAAAAAAAAATATTTAAATTATTTTCAAAATGGAATAAATATAAATTTACTCAGTAAAAGTTAAAATTTACTCACCGATTGATGATTCCACGTGGTCGAAAGAATTTTGAACGAAAAGAAACAGAATAAAAAAAAAATTACACTTTAAACGTGAAAAAGCACTTTGACGACTGTAAGCGACTGACCATAAACTACTTATGTTATAGAGTGGCGAACTTAAACTAAATGTAAGATTTTTAAAGCTCGGTTCACAAGTATTATACTTTCCTCGACCTGTCCAGTTCTTTCCAAATGCGACACTAGTCGATTATTTTTTTTTTATCAACGACTCAACCCTGTTGAATGAAATTTTTCATTTCTTTGTTAACTACCCAACCTTGTTGGATATTCTGCTCAACCCTGCTAAATGAAATTTTTAATTTTTTTGTCACCTACCCAACCTTGTTGGATGAGATTTTCGAAACTTTCCGAAAATTTCAATTAGCAAGGTTGGGAAGTTGAGGAAAAAATCTCACAGTTATCAAATTACAATTTCGTCTCGCAGGGTTGAGTAGTCGACAAAAAAAGGCAAAAAATTCCAAATCAACAAGGTTGGGTAGTTGACATTGAAATTATCAATAAACGAGAAGTGTCGCATTTCAGAAGTTGTCCAGTGGAAATAAACACATTAAAGCTAAATTCACAATGGCAAATGACCATTATTATTTTTTTATTTAAATATTTGTATTCTCAAATAAAAAAAATTCAGAAAAAATCTGTAAATACACAAAATTCGAGTAAAACAAGGAAAACAATACAAAAAACGCCAAAAAAAGACGTTATCACGATTGTTTATTTACTTTAAAAAGAAAACCATCGATATCAATAGTTAACAATCAAAACGTTTAATGATTTTTTTTTGTGTTTTCAAGATACAGTGATTAATAGTGTGATTTATCACAATCATGATAATGATAATGATGATGATATGTTTTCTCATACAATAATTGTCGATTAAAAATGTCGCAAAGTAATTTGCCGTTTATTTAATTATATCGATGTCTTCGCACAGTGTGTATTACATAATTAGTGATGTGGCTCATTAATATTTTTTTTCTTTGCCAAAAAATAAATAAAAATTATCTTCAAAATAATTATCAAAAGCCATTATTAAAAATATATATGTATATATCGTAGGTTTTTTAGACATCAAAATTTATCGAACTTGCGATATAAATCGTTTAAAATTGATATGTTGGAATTGAAGTCTCAAAATCGATAGTTTCTAATATCGAAGTCTCGAAGCTGATAATATCGATTATTGAAATCTCGAAATCGATTTTTTCAACGATTATCAAAGTTTTGAAATTAATTTTTTATCGATTATCAAAATCTTGAAATCAATTTTTTATCGATTATCGAACTCTTGAAATTGATTTTTTTTATCGAATATCGAAATCTTAAAATCGATTTTGTATCTAATGTCGAAGTTTCAAAATCAATATTATCGAATATCGAATACTTGAAATCGATACAGAGTATCGAATATGGACTCAATTATCGACATTTGGATATTTTAGGTAAAAAAAATTTTTTTTTAAATATTTATGAGCCAAGTTAGTAATTAATAACCTAAACAACGTTTTTTTTTTTTTTTGAAGAAAAAGCCGTTGTTTCAACAGTTTACAAATAAAAACGCAAAAACATACAAAAGTTTTTTTTTACATGGTTATCATTCTTTCGTATAAAAAAAAGTTCTCCAGTTTCATCTCTCTTGCAGAAAGGCCTTTTTTAAACCAAAGTCCCAACTTTTTCTCACATCCAGTTGTTTTTTTTTAAATTATTATTAATTTTTTTGTTTAATCAACTTTAAGCGTATCTGAGCGAAAGTGTCGCTCCACTGATAAATACTGCCAGCGGTGCGTTAGAAAAAAAGGAAAAAAAGAAAATATTCTATAAAACTAATCGCAGAAGAAATTTTTTTTTTGATAATACAATATATGGTTGACAATAGAAAGCTGTTTGATATGAACATTTAAAGGTGTATTCATAAATTTAATGAGAGAAATGAATTTTTTTTGTTTGGAAATAAGAATTTTGTGATATGGCGAATCTTTGCTATTCTTGGTTTAAGCTGGTTTTATAATGGTCTTAGTGGGGGCTTTCACGTGAGGCTTGTAGATTCGGTTTGAAGTTTAGTTGTCTAATGCTAAGTTAAGCTATTTTACCGTCTTGTCAAGTCTATTGTAGAGGTAGCTTAACGCCAGGTCGAGTTTATTGTAGAGCGAACTTAATGTCACGTCAGATCTATTCTACAATAAGCTTATGGTCACTTTCAATCAATTGCAAAAACCAACTTAATGTCTGGTAAAGTTCATTGTAGACGTAGTTAAACTTCACGTTAATTCCATTGTAGAGTGAGCTTAATGTCTGGCAAGGTTCATTGTAGAGGGAGCTTAATGTCTGGTAAAGTTCATTGTAGAGGTAGCTTAACGTCACGTTAATTCCATTGTAGAGTGAGCTTAATGCCTGGTAAAGTTCATTGTAGACGGAGCTTAAGGCCACGTTAAGTTCATTGTAGACGGAGCTTAAGGGCACGTTAAGTCCATTGTGGATTGAGCCCAGCGTCACGCCAAGTTAATTGTAGAAAGTGCTTAACGTCATGTCATGCCATTGTAGAAGGAGATTAACGTCACCGGAAGTCAATTGTAGAATAAGCTTAACGTCAAGTCATGTCCATTGTAGAAGTAGCTTAAAGCCACGTTAGGTCTATTCTACAGTGAATCTTCGGTCACGTTAAATCGATTGTAAAATTAACTTACAATTAATTTCACGTCAAGTCCATTGTAGAGTGAGCTTAACGTCAAGCCACGTCCATTGTAGAGTCAGCTTATCGTCACGTCGAGTCGATGTTAAAGTGAGTTATTCGCCACCGTAATTTTATTGTTACTTTTCTTCAGTGTCATTTTTAACATTGTGAAGTCAGCTTAAAGTAACCATAGAAACACGTGCGTATGACAAGGACAGAAAAGGGGAAAACCAGCTCTCGACAAGGACAGAAAAGAACGTAAATTTCTCCAATTTGAACCTTAGAGCAAATAGTTTGAATATAATTTCCAATTTTTTCTTTTAAACCAGTGTTGCCATTTAATGAAAAAGAAAAAAAAATTTAATATTGTTACTTCTTTTGGTAATTTTAAAAAATAATGGCAATTTTACAATTTCAGTAAGTTGAATAAGTAATGTCAATTTCACAATTTCGGTACATTTAATAAGTAATGGCAATTTTACAATTTTAGTAATTTTACAATATTTAAATATTGCAAATTAATATACTTATAATATTTATAATTATTATAAATAATGTATACTAATTCACTTATTGTCAAGTATTATAAAATATTACTATATTAAACTATATATTATATTGCTATAATATGTTTTATTGTCTAATGTAATAATATTCCTTTTTTCAATAATATACAAATTTTGAATTTTAAAGAAATTATTAAAAACGTAAGGGTCATTTTCGCTAGAACTTTTCATGGAAAATTGACTCTTAAGATCTTCGGATTTGAAATTTTTTTACTTTTTAAAAATAATCTAATATATAAAATAATCTAATAAATAAATAATTTAAAAAATTAGTGAAAATATTACTATTAATATTAATATAATATTAAAAAAGTAACTTCAATTTAAAATTAGAAAAAAAATAGTTATTAAAAATTTTTTTTTTACAATTTGATTATTTTTGCGTTGACAACACTGTTTCCATATATTATAAATTGCTTTCTAAGGTTAAATAATTTTCTTTTTTTGAATTAAATATTAAAAAAATAGTTTTTTACAAATTTTGTTTCGTATTTTTTCGTCTATTTTTTTCTTTTTTGTTTTCATTTTTTTTTTTTTTGTAGAAAATACAAAATTTGAATTATAAGTCGCAGTATAATAACAGCGGTAACATTGAATTCGATTTCTAATTATCTGCTACGCCTATTACATTTTATAATAATATAAATTATGTATCTATAGAACTAAATCATCATTCTCCTCCTCGTGAAATACACATTACTGGCACGTAGCGTTTTTTTGTCAATTTTGTCGAGAAAAAAAAATTACCCAGAGTTATAATAAATAAGTCGCTTTAAACTCACCAGCAGAGACATTATTTTTTAATTTTCATAATTTTTTTATGAATAATTTTAAAAATTTTTTATAAAAATAATTTGTTTTGAAAAAAGTTTTCTTTTTAATTATTTAAAAAAAAAAAAATTCTAGTCCAATTTGACGATTTCTGACAATAATTATAATAATAAATGATTATTAAAATTTGTTATATTAACTTTAAAAAAATTTTTTTTTCTAATTCACATTAATTTTTGTCTATTAAGAGACAAATTTCTTTGCTGCTGAGTATAAATACAATAAATAATTATTAAAAATTACCTACTTATTGTTAAATAAAGAGAATTATAAATTACTATATATAATTATGTTCGTGTTTGTGTATATTTGTGTATGTGTGTGTATAAGACAATAAGTCACGTATTTTAAATAATAAAATCCAAAATAAAAAAAATTTTTTTTTAGTCTTTTCAAAATAAAAATTGTTTTTTTTATAAAAAAAAGTCGAATTATTAAAAAAAATTAAATAGAAGTAATAAAAATTCTATTTTACAAAGGGGGAAAAATATCTAACGCTTCTCAAATTTATTATTTAAATAAAAAAAAAAATTAAATTTTTTCTCTTCATACATAAAATTGACTAGGCAGCGAACTTTTAAGAAAGCAAACTATTTTCCCCTATCATTTCATTTTTTTTCTTTTTATTTTAAGAGCATTCCCTTACGTATATTAAGAAAAAAAACATTCTCAAATAAATAAATAATCAAACAACTAAACAGTATAAAAAATAATTTCCTATTATTTAAAAAAAAATCCTGCTTGTTATTAAAAAATTATTATTATCATTATTATTATTTAAAAAATTATTCTTATTATCATTAATATTATTAAAAAAAAAAATTATTGAAAAAAAATTATTTAAAAAATTATTTTAAAAAATTATTTAAAAAAAATTATTATCATTAAAAAAATATTAAACATTACGCATAACTTTCTTCAATAAGAAATGCCTTTTACTCACGTAAAAATCCGCGCCTTTTTTTAAAAGAGACACTTTTGACACATTTTAAAAGAGAAATGTGCAAAATTTCCTTTTGAGGGTAAAAATTGTTGTTTTTGCCAACTGCCCAACCCTGTTATATGAAATTTCTAACTTATTGCCAACTGCCTACCTTGCTAAATGGAATTCTTAACTTTTTTCAACTACCCAACCATGGCGATTGAAATTTTTATTTCTTTATCAACTACCCAACCCTGGAGAATGAAATTTTTAACCTTTTGTCAACTGCCCAACGAAATGAAATGCTCAATGAAATGCTTAACTTTTTGTCAACAATTCAACCCTGAATGAAATTTTCCTACTTTTTTGCCAACTGCCCAACTCTGCTCAATGAAATTTTTCAACTTTTTGTCAACAACTCAACCCTGCTTAATAAAATTTTCTATTTTTTTGTCAACTGCCTAACCTTGTTAGAGAAACACTTCGAAACTCTATCTTATTTTTAAAATTTACAATTTTATGATTTAACATTTCTTTTTGTTTAGAATTTTTATTTTATAATTTCGGGCAGTTGACCAAAAAGTTAAAAATTCCACTTTGCAGGGTTGGGTAGTTGACAACAGAGTTGAAAAATTTAAGGTTAAGTAGTTGACAAGAGTTAAAAAATTTATCCTACAAGGTTGGGTAGTGGACAAGATAGTTAAAAATTTTATTCTACAGGGTTGGGTAGTTGACGAGACAGTTAAAAAATTTTAACTCACAAGGTTGGGTAGTTGACGAAAGAGTTGAAAATCTTATTTAACACGGATAGGTAGTTAATAAAAAAAAATTGAAAATTTTGCCTCGCAAGGTTGGATAGTTGACAAGTGTCACATTTGGGAAGTAACTTTCCTAGAATTCCATTGTAGTGTCACCATTATATTTTCTACAAGTTTTACCCTCTGTTTTACCATCAAACGTTAATCTAACCTTAACGCACGCAAAATACGTTCATCGCACATTAACGTCATTTTTCATTACCTGCTCTACCTTGCTCTTTAATCCCCCTTCCCTCTTCTTCTCTTTTTTCCGTGTTCATTTCATTTGACAATTTTACATATTATTATAAACAGGTTATCTAAATTAGCTAATAATAATTATTATTATTGTCACAATAACAATTAGAATTTCATTGAGTTTTGATTGTTCATTCTTTTTTGTTTAAATTATTATTTTTCTTTTGATACATAACCTCCAATTTTTATACATAACCAAAAAAATGATTTTTCAATTGTTATAACATTTTTTTGAATTCATATGAATTTTTGAAATAATTGGAGTTTAATATATCAAAATATGGTCTAAATATTATATATAAGTTAATCTTAAATGGCTAGAAAAAAATAATAATTAATGCTCATGAAAAAGCGATGAATTGGGCGAATTTTAATATCGGATGCAAATCAGACAATTATATTATTATTATTTTATAATAATCGGGATATTTTGTCACATTTGATATTTTCGGTTATTTTTTTAAAATTCTATTTTGATAAATACTGTAGTACAGTTTTAGAAAAAATATCGAAATTGACATGTATATTTTTTTTTACTTATTGACATTCCCATCACTGGGTTTCGATGGTAACTTCCTAGGTGCGCCACTAGACAAATGCGCATTTTTTATTTTTTTGTTCAACTATCCAACCCTGCTCAAAGAAATTTTTTACTTTTTCTCAACTTCCCAGCACTGACAAAAGAAAGTTTTATCCTTTTTTGACAACTGTCCAACCCTGTTAGAATAAACATTTTCCTTTTCTCAACTTCCCAGCCCTGACAAAAGAAATTTTTATCCTTTTTTGTCAACTGTCCAACCCTGCTAGAAAAAAATTTCTACTTTTCTCAACTTCCCAGTCCTGGGTTGGTTGCTGTATGAAATTTTCAATTAGCAAGGTTGGGCAGTTGTCAAAAAAATTGCAAATTTCATTAGTGGCGCACTTGGGAAGTTAATTTCAGTGGTTAGAATAAAGGCCAAAGCACTTTTAGATAGAAAATCGAAAATTTGATTGTGTATTGACCTTAAAGAATTTTAAGATCTCTGCAATGAATGCAGAATGTGAGATAGACAAAAGAAAGAGACACATTTGTTGTCTTCTATCTTACTCTATACTTTATATCAGAGTAAAGGCCAAAGCACAATGAAACCTTAAAGGCTTATTCACAACTTTGCGAACGCAAAGCCTAAGTTAAAAAAAGGACAGAGATATGTTAATGTCCTTTTCTATCTCATGCGTCTCGTTGGTCTTTAATCTTAAAATTGTAAATCGAATCGTAAATTCCGAGAACGAGAGAGAGAGAGAAAGAAAGACATATATGTACATCCTTCTCTTTCTAATAAAAAAATTTCCAATTCAAGGTTTCATTGTGCTTAGGCCTTAACTTTCTCTTGGCCTTTAATCCCAACCAATTCAAGAACACATAACCTGAAAAACAGTCAGTGTGACACTGTCAGCTCTTTAAATTGACATTTTTATTTAATACATATATAGAGAATATAAAAAAGAGCGCTAAATATTTTTAAATGCTAAGCTTTCGTGTTCTGTATCGAGTATTTTTCAGGTTAGAATTTTCACTGATTTGCATCGCGATTTGAATATACATATATATATATAGATAATAGTGTATACGATTAAACAATGGCTTTTTATGTAAGAACCAATGACGCCATCTTGGTTCTTCAGTCTTCTTTGGCTTTCGGGTAACACGGAGAGTAGTTTGCGAGAAATTATTATCATCGCACTTTCTCTTCGACGCTCCCTCTCTCTTTTCTCTAGAGAGACTAATTCTTAAAGGTAGATTCACACTACAATTCTGTCTACGATTTTTATTGTTCGGAAGACAAGTATTATTTTTCTCTTTGTTACCACTAGGAAACCGGTCATCAACACCCAGTAAACGAAAACTAATTGAAATGAATTAAAAAGAATTCACAAAGAGCTTTCGTGAATCCCGCTTTGTGACAAATACGAATTGGAGCCATGATGCAATTTTCCTGAATTCGTGAAACTGTATTGAACTTCCGAACCTTCTATCCGTACCAATTCACTGGACAAGTTTTGAGCCTTTAATTTTTTTCAATTCGTTAGCACGAATTCAATGCATTCCTTGGCCATTTCTTTCGAATGCGAATTCGTTTGGACAAATTGGTACATATTGAATTAAATTCAATTGAATATACAAAGAGCTTGAGTGAATCCCGCTTTGTGACAAATACGAATTGGAGCCTACCAAAAATGTTAATTCGTTTCAATTCATTTGAATTAGTTTTTTTTTACTGGGCAGACTGCAGTGTGTGTACACAAATTGTTACGGTACGATTACAATTTCGAAATACTCCGGCAGATAATGTTTTAGTTCTTGACGAATGGAACCGTAAACATTGATTGTCATTATCAACCGCAGATGGATTACTATTGTAATTTAAAATTGTCAATTAAAAAAACCCCAAATGTTGAATATAGTGATAGTTAAAGTGACCTGCGACACTGTCGATAGTAATCGATTTTTACGTTCGATCTATCGATATTTGTAAATTTACGTGTGTCATATCGTGAAGAGAAAATAGGACACATAACCTCGACGGTGCACTCGAGTTGGCGGGAGTGACAAATCAGCTGAGTCCACGTAGTGCCACTGCGTGCTTTGACGAGTGATGATTGTTACGATGATGTCGCCTTGCTCGACGACACTGATAAGTGCAACAGTCATCCATGGGACGTTCACCCCGTCTGATCTGGTGGGCAATTGAATTGCACACTGATCGCGGACATCGTTTACGATCACAGCGAATGTCACCGTTCTGGGGAAGAAATATTCTTAAAATTCGGAAAACTTCATTGTTAAGGTTAGTATTTTCGGTGAATATTGAGCTTTGAGTTACAATCTCATTTTTTATTGATTCACTTTCATGTGTATTATTATTATTTTTCACGTGACATTAACCATTTTTTCTGTTACAGATTCTTGTGGACTTGGATTTATCAACACTAGGGATAAAGGTTTTTTAATATTTGGATAACTTCAGTATTGAAATTATTACTGTTGGGTAAGTATAACGTCGAGTTTGAATTGAACTAGGAATAAAGTTTTCTTATTATTCGGATAACTTCAATGAGAACAATTTCTCACTAACAATAGAAATGAAACATTCCTAATATTCGAATATACTTGATATTCGGGTAAGTTCATTAAGAATTACTTCCAATCAACATTACGAATAAAATATTCTTATTATTCGGATAACTTCATTTGAGAGTAATGTCTCATCAAAGACGGAACTAAAAGTTTTGCAAAGAACCAATTTCACAAATATAAGAAAGTCCCCAATTGAAAATACTTTTTTTAAGGTTAGAACTGAATTAAATTTGCTTAATTACCTTGCAACGGCACTTGACGCACTTCATCTCTCCATGAGAATGGATTCGTGGATGCCACTCCCTTCCGTTCTCGTAAGGACCGCCGACTGGGTATTTGCAACCACCGGAAGCGAGAATCTCCTCCGATGTGCGGCGCGTCGATAAAGCTGCTTGATCGCGAGGAAGTTGACTCTCAGTACCATTTGCGTATGTTACATTAACAACCGGACATTGTCTACAGCAGGCCTTCTTCTCCGGTCGAAACGCCTCTTTCTCGTCACAGTCCAGTGGAGGACACTGTACCCGTGGACATCTCACTTGTAGTGTCATGATCTAATTTGAAAGAAAGAACGCAATTTTTAAAAAAAAAGTTAGTGCGAAACTATAGTCAGATACTTACATCACAAGTGCAGAGAGCGCAGGTATCGAATCCATTCGGTGGTAGGTAAGGATGCCAAGAGGATCCGGCTAGATGAAATTGTCCAGCGAGTGTGCATCCCTTAGTCAAGGAAATTGTTGTATTGTCATCATTTAGCTTCGACACTGTGGAATTGGAACTCATTGTAAAATTGGAATTTGTCACCGATTTCGGTTAAAAACAAAATATAAACTTTGGGCTAATTTAGCAAATTCTACTTGAAAGCTACTAAAAACAGGATTTATAAAGCAAAGGGTTCATTAGATACCCACCGGAACAAATAGGACAACAATTCCCAGGCGCCTTCATCTGTTTTCCAACAGCACACTGCAGAACCGGACAAGGAACTGGATCACAGTGGGCCAATCCTCTGTGACAGTGGCACATGGAGCAGGGATCAGAACTCGACGTCCATTGTGTCCCCTCTTCATAGAACCTGGTTTCATGGAAACATGCCGTCACTTCTAAATCGGATTGAGGCGGTTGGAGATTATAAGCCACCACCGATGCCACATCATTGTCCGCATAGTGCGGCAGACAGCTCAAAGGTGCCCTGGTTTTAAACGGAGCCTTTAGGAGTTTAACCGACTGATTATTGGTGACCTCGAGGAATCCGATTCCGGACTCTATGCGATAGAGTTCAACCGGCGATAAACCAGCGACCGAACCCTCCAAAACGGAACCTGTGAATTCTTCCAAAAGTCTTCTGGAAACTGGAGCGCCTTGCGCCAGGACCGGCATTGTCTCTAAATAGAGCCTTAGACTCCTGGTGTCCTGATCGCTTGGGAGTCCGGAAATTTCCAATTCGTAGTGGAGGGTACAGTCGGGATCGACTGACGCCCAGACCAAACCGACTGGAACTTGGTTCGATTCCTGAAATTAGAGGTAAGTTGTAGATAAATCTTGGGGGTTCAATAAACTTTAGGGGTTCGATAAACCTTTGGGTTTTAATAAACCTTAGGTGGTTCGATAAACCTTTGGGTCTCTATTAACCTTTGAGTCTCCATAAACCTTAGGATTTAGAAAACCTTTGGGTCTCCATAAACCTAAGGGTTTAGTAAACCTTTGGGTCTCCATAAACCTTAGGGTTTTAATAAATCTTTGGGTCCAAATAAATCTTAGAGTTTACTTCCAAGGGCGAGAACAAAACTTACCTTCGAATGACTCATATCGTGATCGACCCTACGCAAGAGGACAGGACCTGCCGTGTCCCTAGCGTCGGCGACTGGTCTAGCGACCAAACGTCCCTTCAGATTAGCTCCCGATTTTTGAAGAGAAGCAGCTACTACAGCAAGATCTCCATTAAGTAACGGCTCCAAAAGTCTAGGTCCAGGTCTCTCGAGTGTACCATTCGCGAGTCCACCAATCAGCGAAGGCGTCAAGTCCTCAACTTCCTGCCTCTTCTTTCCGCTCTCATCAACAAGAGTCAGCGTAACCGGAAGATCGTTCTCCATACCCAGAACCTCGAAACCATACCTAAGTGCCCCATATCGATCCAAAAACGCCCAACCCAAACCCGAAGCACTCCGACTACCAACCTCAGTAGTCAACAAAGCCTGATACATATCACAACTAACCCTCGGCGACACCGACCCGGACAATTTCAAAGCCTCTGGATCTCTCTTCGACATAATGCTGATGGTGAGCTTTCCCCTAGAAAGCAACCTCAAATCCGTCACCGATATTGTCCCCCTCACCTCTCCAGTATTCAGTTCATTCGATGGTTTCTTAACAATAGTCTCCTCTCTCAACACCACATGATTCTTCTCCGCGTGCTCCAGCTGAACAACAATCGGAACATCCACAATATCGCTGGGCAAGAATAGACCATTAAAAATCAACGAGATATGAACCGAAGGAGTGGAGATGAAAGAAGTCGCCGAGACTATCGCAGTGGCACCTGAACCAGACATTGCGGCACGATCGACACCCAACGATGGTTCGAGGAGTGAACTGAATTGCTCCGTGGAGAGGGCGCGATACCTCGATAGACGACCATTTAACGTGGACGTCGTTTCCCAAGTGAGACTCACGAATAGACGTTCCTCTCTTAGGAATTTTCGATAATCGCGTGCAACACGTCGCCAAACACCGCATAATTTACCAGTTGCATTCTGATAGACGCCACCAATTGGATCCAGTGTCTGCTCCTCGAGAATGTTACCGCTGATGTCGAGGAATTGAAGTATCCTTGGTCGGGGAGTTATTCCCGTGAAGGCAAACGAATAGTAGAGATTTTTTCTGTGGAATATAAAACGACCGGTTGCAATATAGTTGGAGACGTTGTCGAAATTTGTCGTGGATGATGATTTTTTGCCGAAGTCCTCACGTTTTAGCATTTGACTCGTTCGACCAGTGAGAAGGGTTCCAAATTCTGCAAAAATTGACGAGGTGAGAATTTTTATTTTTAGGAGACAAATATATTTTTTTGATTCGACTTGACTATTTTTTCTGTTACAGAGACTTTCATGGAAATCGTTTCATCAACACTAGGAATAAGTTTCTTAATATTCGGATAAACTTCAGTATTGAAATAATTTGGTGAGTATGATTTTCAGTTTCAATTGCACTAGGGATAAAGGTTTCTTATTATTCGGATAACTTCAACAAAATAGATTCACGAACGTAATGCATTAGAAAAGGACAGGAATGTATTTGTCTCCTTTTCTATCACCTGTATCACGTTCGCGATCTCAATTGTAAAATAACCTAAAACATTAAAGGCCAAAGCACAATAAAGTTCGTGTCAAAAATCGATGAACTCCGATTGGTTACCTTCATTTGTATAAGCCAATCAGAAACAAGTATCTTTTTTCCCCCACGTTAACTACCCAGTTCTGCTCTCTGCTCTATAACCTCCACAAACAGATGATTTTCACCATTTTTTACTAATTTGTATTAAAGTGTGTTAAATTATCAAAAGTGGTTGTAAAAAATGTTCGTTATGTAAGAATATGAAAAATATGAATAGTATTTGGAGAAGTATGTCTAGATTTGAGTGAGTGATTCTTATTCGTAAGTATTGTAATGAACTGGAGAGGTTAAAGATCTCAAGCCACTGACCTATCCCAAATGGATAAGAGAAAAAAATTTGTAACGACAACAGAGAATGTAAATAATTTCTTTATGAGTGGCGCCGTCAAATTGCATTGCTTTGCATAACAAGAACGTCTACTTTGTAAACTACACTTTAAAGATAACAAGGGGAGTTAGCATTTTAATATTCAAGTTCCAGTTTTGATGCGAGATATAGACTTGTTTACTTGTTTTTGAATGGTTCGAACGTTTAACTATATATATATAGTTAACTATGTATATAACTATGTATATTGACTATATACATAGGTATGCTATATATTAACTATTTGTAAGGCATATACATTAACAATCTACAAGTTTCGACTTTAAAGGAAAAATATCAAGATAAAATTAATTGATTGTGAAATCTTACGTTTCAGACTTCGTTCCTCCTCCTCCAAGGACAATTGTGCCGGAAGATCTTGTGCGATGTCAACATCTATAAAAACAAGAAGAAGAAGAAGAATTTTTAATTTTTCTTTTAAAGGAGCAATTTTCTTTTTGGGACATTGATGAAGTTTATTTTTTATTATTTCCCCCTGCCAGAGATAAATTATTCCGTTCTAAGCAACGCGACTACTTCTTCGTTTTTCTTTTTTTTTTTTGTGGCTCAACTCTTGGCACAGGCATCGATTTATTGGTGAGTATTAACCTTTCTTTTCTGCGATAAATTTTACTTGTTGCGCATGGGTTTCTTGAGAATGAGAAAAAGAGAGATAGAGAATGAGAGTAGACAGATTTGTTATTTTCTACGCATTTGAAATTGGTGCACGAGTGATATTTTGTTAAAACAAAAATTTGTCTTCTCTCTCTTTTTTTTACTTGTCATATATATATGTATAGATGCGTAATATTTTGTTTCAGATGTTGAGAAATTTCTCGCTACGAAAACAAAATAAAGTGTGTGTTATGTATTCTGGAAAAAGGATATTTTTAAAAAAAAGACATCAGTACGTGTCTCAAGGTTTTCAAGGCAAATTGATAATAATCAATATTATTTTTGGGTAAGTATATAACATTCAGTTTGGATTTTCGTATTCTTTATTAATTTCGCTTTTTTTAAAATTGAAATAAAATATAATTTTCTTTGTTACAGATTTTCATGGAGGCTTCGTGGACATGGAAGGGGATGAAAATTCCCCACTGCGATTCTTATTCTCGACACGGATAAAAGTTTCTTAATATTTTGATAACTTCATTTCGAGATTCATTTCTTATCGCCGATAAGGACAAAATTGGCTAAATATTTGGATAACTGTGTTATTGATATTATTTACGTAAGTAGAACATTCAGTTTGAATTTTTTTCTTTAATTCGCCTTGACTTGAAGTTAACTAATTTTTTTCTGTTACAGATTTTCTTGGACATCGTTTTATCAACACTAAGAATAAAATATTCTTATTATTCAGATAACATCAATGAGAATAATTTCTGTTCAACAATACGAATAAAGTTTTCTTATTATTCGGATAACTTCATTTGAGAATAATTTCTCGTCAACAATACGAATAAAATATTCTTATTATTCAGATAACATCAATGAGAATAATTTCTCTTCAACAATACGAATAAAGTTTTCTTATTATTCGGATAACTTCATTGAGAATAATTTCTCGTCAACAATACGAATAAAATATTCTTATTATTCGGATAACTTCATTTGAAAATGTCTTAATCGACTACAACCCTAAAAGATTCTTAATATTTAGCTAACTTTATTTTGAGATTCATTTCGCATCAGCGATAAGAATAAAGTTTTCTTCAGTTGAAAAACTTCGTTAGAGATTTGATTCTAAAGGTTTCTTAATATTCGGATAACTTCATTGAAATATTTACCAGACTTATTTTCAAAAGCGTAGAAATCGGTCCCAATTAAAAAGATTCTCAAGCACTTTTTTTTTTGTAAAGTAATTAGTCGGATGAAATTTCAAACCTAAAAATAATTGAAAATTTTTTTTTTTGAAAGTTAAGATTAAGAATTCAAGGTTAGAAAAAAAGAGAAAGAAAAATAAAAATTAATAAGGGCCATTAAAATGTTGACTTTGAAGAGTATAAGCGAATGGTAATCGTTCGATTCGACTCGGTGAGGATTTGAAACTCAAAACGCATTTAAATTTCAAAGAATTCGCGATCTTGATGCCCGGTTGAAAAAAAGAAAGAAAGAAAAGAGAGCCTCGTGGTCCCCCTCCTCCCCCGCAACACACTTTGGTGTCCGTATAGGAATAGATTAAAATACATGTGAATGTGTCACGTGCACATTTACGTGACTACATTTTGAAATACACGCGCAGAAATCGTCCAAGAAACGTGTCCCTTAATCCTGAATGACGACCATCCTTCCTTTACCGCAAATCCCCCTTCGAAAACTGCAGGCGCCGATTCTAGTGTAAACCAAACCGCCGCCACCTTCTTCTTCTTCTTCTTCCTCCTCCTTGACGAGTCTGATCCAGAATGATTTGAGTTAGTCGGGTTTGAGAAAGGTTTAAAGGTCTGTTCTCTCGTCTTTTCTGTTCGCAGAATAGTTTTGCCTCTATCGCGCATATATAGAATAGATTCAACACCGTCCAATTCCAAGGAAGCATAAAATCAGATAAATGTGTCACGTTTCACACCACAAATCACCAATTTCTTTCGCAAGGAATTTCGAGTGCCTTGGCTTTCCGCCTCCATTCACTCCTCGACAAAGGAAGCGGGCATAAATTAAGACCCGCGTCGTCTAGATTATTCCTAGCTTTTATAAGAGATGCGAAATAAGAATGAGAGAGAACAAAAATTTGTGAAAAAAAATTACCAACAAAATAAAAGTATGAATCAAATTATTTTTTTTTTTCTCTTTTCTTTGGGTTATACGACTATAATGAAATTCTAATGCGGTGACGACATATTCTCCATTCCTTATTTTTACTTATACAAAAAGACCATAAAGTAGATTAACAATAGGATGACGCATTCTCAACTTGTATTAAATAACAATTATTTACAAAAGAAATATAAAAAAACAATTCCTCCAAATACATTTTTCAAAAGCGTATTTGATTATTCTTTTCGATTAAATTTTTTTTCCCGTCAAATGTACTTGACGCACCTGCTCCTTAATCAAAAAAAAACGAAAAATCATTTTTCAAATCCTATATTTAGCGCTTTTTCATCAAAACATCGAATAAAGAACAATATTGACATTAAAATTATGCAACCTAGGCAAGAAATAGTTTGAAAATACTAAAAATTTTCCTGTTTTCGCTGCCACAATCTTATTATGCAAATCAAGTGAAAACATTTGCTGGAGGATGCTGCTTGTGTGTGTGTTTGTATTAGTGTATGTATGTTAAGATCAATGTGCAATTGTGCATACCTGTTACGTGGGTGTGATAGGTCAATATTGCAAAAGTTTTTACTTCCTCATTTCTCAACACCTACCCAAAAATAAGTTCCTGCATTTAAACAAACTTCCCACTTATATATATATGATATGTCGATGAATAAACCAAAAAAAAAATGAAAAACCCAAATTAATTTATTTAGCAAAAAAGAAGAAGTTGAAACAAAATTTTTAGATATAAATATAAAAATTTTGTTTTTGGTTCATTTTTGACGATTTTTATCCCTTTCTTATTGTGTTTTTTTCGATATTTATCAACTATTACAGTTTTTGCAGATATTTACTATTATTAACGTGTTTTACCCAGAATTACCATTTTTTACCGTATTTTGTAAATATTTATCAACTATTACAAAGTTTGACCCTCAATTACTATCTATTGGCGCGTTATACAGTCAATTACCCCCTATAACTTTGATTTACCTATAATTACCGTATATTTACATATATGTAATGTATATTTATGTTAGTTGCCGTATATTTGCGATAGTTACCTTATATTTACGCATGTACTGTACACTTACGTATAATTACGTATATTAACCCGTGTTTATCGTACGTTACCATTATTTGACTATATTTACGTTAGTTCCCGTATATTTTCGATAGTTACCTGTATTTTCGATAATAACCGTATATTTACGTATATTTACATATATTTACCGTTGTTTACCGCCTGTTACCATTTCTTGCTTATATTTACGATAATTACGTATATTTACGATTGTTACTATACATTTACGTTAATTTACAGGCTTTGTACTCAATAATTAATAGTAAAAAAAAGTATCAAAAAGTAGCTTTAAGACTGAAAAAAACTGTAAAAAAATAACTATATCGAAAAATTACACTTGACGACTCAATTTTTTTATAATTTCTAAATTAAATTATACATTCAAAAATTGAATAATTTTTTTTAAAATAAATATTCAAATAACTATTTATTTTTCCAGAGGAATTTAAAATATTTTAAATAATTTCAATGGAAAGCTTCTTTGAATTTTAACTAATTCTAAAAAATCATCTTCCAAAAATTGAAAAAAATTTCTTTATAAATATTTCTAAAAATTAAAATTCTTTCGAAATTTAATCATTTTGCTGTTGTAATTTTTCAATAAAATTATTCTAAACTTTAATCATTTTATATCTAAAAAATGAAAATTTGAAATATTATTACAGTTTTACGATAATTAAAATTTTTAAAGATTTCAATTTAAAAATCTTTTGAAATTTTATTATTTCTAAAAATTCAGGCAACAGGGCTTCTAAATATTCAATTATTATCGAAAATTTTAAATGAAAATTCAATTTTAAATCAAGTCTTATTAGAAAGTTAAAGAGAGAATTCAATTATTTAAATACAAAAGTAAATAATTGATTGAATGATTGAATGTTTCTTAAAATTGAACACTTATAAAATAACTTTTTCAAAATTTTTTTAATTTAATTAGATTCTTTCGAATAATTTTAATAAAATTTCCAAGAATAATTGAATTTTTCTAAAGAATTTTATAAATTATGAAAAGTAATTATTGCTACGACCTACGAATTTTATTATTAATTTTTTTTTAATGAATTTAATTATTCTTTTGAGAAATTTTTTAAAATAGTTATAGAAAATAGTTGTAATTTGAAATTTTTTTTAAATTTATCTCTACAAAGAATTTTTTTAAAATTTATTAAAAATAATTGACTTTTTACAGAGAATTTTATTGAAATTTTTTGAAAACAATTTAATTCTTTTAAGAAATTTAATTAAAAATTAACTGAAAATAAAGATTAAATTTAAATAAACGAAATATATCAAAAAATTTTTTTTAAATAATTGAATTCTTTTGAAGAATTTAAAAAAAAATTTTCAAGAATTATAATTGAATCTTTTGAGAAATAAATTTAAAATTGTATTAAAAAATAATTGAAATTCTACGATGAGTTTTATTAATTATAAAAATAATTGAATTTTTGCAACGAAATTTTATATTAAAAATTTTTAAAAAATAATTTTATTCCTGAGAAAAACTTTATAATAGCGGCAAATCGATAATAAAAAATAGTAAATA